CTTCTTATAAGAAAAAGAAAATGCTTTTCTTATAAAGAAAAGAAAATGGTTTGCATGATCTGCTTCTTGGCCTTTCTTCTCCTTTATGTCTGTATCAATGCTCTAAAAGAAGTAAGAGCTGTCTTCTCAGTTTTCAAGAGGATATAAACTTACCATCAGATAAGATCTAGCCCAATGTTACACTACCTAGATATTACCAAGTCTAGCTTAAGTTCTGCCACTTCTCTGAAGCTTTGTCTCTATACCAGATCACAGTAAATGATCTCACCTGTATGAGAACTCTCAGCACCTATACCTAATGCTGCTTGACACTTGTATAAAGCCAACCTCTGTAATTCAGGACTTCACAGGCTGCTGTAGTCCTAAAGTTTTTTTTTCTTCACTCATTGACATAAGATTTTTTTTTTTATCCCGCATTTAGTGTTAGCCACCATGAGCAGGTACCACCAATTACTGTGAAAACACAAACTAGTGCATTAAAATATTTTATTCAGTTATATACAAATAAATTAAAAAATATGTGTTGATCTAAGGTTTAAAGTACAAGTTAAAAAAAGAAAGTCTTCTGGAAGCCTGCTCAATAAAGAAAATCCCAGTATTAAAATGAGTGGAGAGAGATTCTGTCGCATTTAGTAGGAGCCAATTAGTGTCAAATATCATTTTCCCATGCTTGTATCCTGAGTGTCAATCTCTGTGTTCTGCTCAAGGACATCACTTCAACAGTTACCTTTTCTTCTTTTTGCATTATTGTTTTTTCCTCCCCATTGGATCATTCCCATTAAGAGAAAAGAGACTGTAATATATGAGAATAAAACAGCAAAAACAAGGCCAAAAAAATCCTCCCTGGACCTCACATCCTTGTTTCCTCTCACCCACATACATACTTTTTTCAGTGCTGGGTATGGAACCTGTGAATGCTAGGCAAGCACTCTACACCAAGGTACCTCCCAGTCCCTTATTCTCTTCAAATGGCCAAACACCTTAAATGAGTCATCACCTAGCTCTTTTCAAGTACATTTTTATTTTCTCGTGTTTCCACTCTAATTTGGTTTCTATTTACACATTTGTCTTGGTCCTTTGGGTTCCTGTAGCAAAACCTAAAATTCTTTTCTCAGTAGAATTTGTTTCATCAATAGTGTGGATCCTTTAAGAAGACGCTGAGACGTGTATCATACACTCATACGTTCTAGCAACATACATGTTCTAGACTGACCTAGCAACTGTCGTTGGGGCTAATATTTGGTTTAACTTGTCACTTTTCAGTCATTCTCCAGCATTCTTCTAGTTTCTTCAGGAACTTGATGTTGATTTTTCTTTATTATTTGGGCTGAGGTAGGGAAAGGAGAGAGGCGGTTTCAGAGCTTCACTTGACCTTCCACTGTGGTATCTTTTGACCTTCCCCACAGGGCAAGAACCTGGTGAGAGGGCTACTGCAACCATAAAGTATGGAGATCCCAATTGTACATTTAAGGAGCAGAGAAATGACCACTGGGTGGGGCTGTGGACCCAGTGGATGCATTGTAAGTTAGACTTTAGCCCCACAAACCCCTCTGAGAGAGGGGTGATGATGATACTATAGGTCTCTGACTCCCAGTGTCCGCTCAGATCCTGTATCCAACAGTCTGAAGTGTCTCGGTATCCTCATTACAGTACACCTGCAATGGCATTTCAATGTCCTTCGACCTAGAACCTGTTCTATAGTAAATGGGTTGCCGCTCTGAAAACAAGCTCAAATCTAGGAATTGAATAAGGCTCATGATTTTTCTTTGAATGAGTATGTGAGCCCCCTGCCCCTCCATTTTTTCCTTTGGGTGGCTAATTTTAGGTGGCAACTTGACTCAAGAGAAACCAGATGGTAAAGCATTATTGGGTATGTCTGCAAGGGTGTTTCTGAAAGAGATTTGTCTTTGAATTTGTGGACAGAGTAAGGAAGATCTGCCCTCACTCAGTGTGGTAGCCATCATCTAGTCAACTAAGAGCTCAGATAGAACAAAAAGAAAGAAGAAAGGTAGGAGAGTTCCTGCGCTCTCTCTCTCTCTCTCTCTCTCCTGTTTCTCTCTCTTGTCTGTCTATCTATCTATCTATCTATCTATCTATCTATCTATCTATCTAGTCTTTAGACTCTGGGTCTTATAACACCAAACCCCCTATCCTCACCTCACCAATTTCCCAAGCTTTTGGCCTTGGAATTGGTTACATCATTGGCTCTTCTGGGTCTGAGGATTTGGGACTTGAACTGAAGCATGCTACCAGTTTCCTTAGTTCTTCAGCTTGCACCTGGGTCTTCACATAATACATAATTTGGGGAGCCAGTTCCCCTAAAGAATTTCATATCTTCTATCATCTATCTAATATAGCTACCTATCTATCTATCCACCCAAGTTTTGGTTCTGTTTCTCTAGAGAATTCTAATAGCCTTCTACTAACCATGGATGCTCAAGACTGGCTTCCCGTTTATTCTTCCCTAGGAACAAAGGGATTTATTAACCATCTTCACAACTCTTTATGGACAAGTGCTTTTGGATGCCTCCCATTATGGTGCATAGGAGGTCCCCTGGCTTCTGGTGGTCAACTGAAGCTATCTTGTCTTCATTATTTCAATCTTTCATCATGCCCACAAGTGTTTATAAGCCCAGCTCTGGGACCAGCTATGGCAAGTAACCATTGCTAACTTTTTAGTGATGCTTAGAGATGCCCTCGCATCAACTTAGTCCTTATGACTTTGGTGAATAGGGGAGGGGGTCTTCTGGCCTCACATAACATGCCCATATCAGCATTCCCACTTCCTCAACCATTTTATTCCTTCCTGTAACTTCTTAGGGGGGAATGGAATCAACATTCATTGTCACCAGACATCCAAGGCCACTCTAGCCACAAATTTACTTAGACTCCATGGGTCTTTTCCACGTAGGTTAAATCTCACATTCCAGAAAAGTCTCACTCATTTGAATGAATTCTTGCTTATTTAACCTTACCTTCTCATCTCATAGTTCAGGCACCTTCAAAATGTAATTTCAATTGTACCTGGCTTCTGCCAGTGCATTTTAGCTAATGCTTGGAGCTACTTTGGGATATTAACTCTTTCCTTCTTTATCAGACTCAGAAAATCCTTAAGATATGCTGGAATTTAATTCTAGATATTGACTTGGCAGTCAGGAGGGGAGAGGGGTGCAACGTATGTTTTCTGTTTCAGAAGAGGCCTCTCTGGTTACTTCCTCTACAAAGTGCTCGCTCTTATTGTACATGCTCTGAGGGATCAGAAGGGTCTACTGAGTCAAAATTCTTGGAACATTGTTACAGTTTGGATATTAGGTATTCTCCCAAAGTTCCTATGTTAATGCAGGAATATCCAAAGTGAAATGATCAGATTACAAGAGCCATGATTATTGGTCCATCTTAGTTTGAATAGACTAATTGGATGGAAACTGTAGGAAAGGAAGAAATGGCAGGAGGAAGTGAATCTCTGTAGGCATACCCTGGAAGGGTTCATCTTACCTACAGCTCTTTCTCTACTCTTTCTGCTTCCTGGCCACCATGAGCAGAGCAGTTTTCCTTCATCACACCCTCCCACCACAATGTTTTCTGCCTCATCTTGGGCCCAGAACAATGGAGTCAGCAGAACCTGGACTGAGACTTCTGAAAACATGATCCCAAATGAAATTTGCCTCCTCTAAGTTGCTCTGTTAGGGTATTTTGGTCACAGCAACAAAAACCTGCTGAATGCAGACATCCACCCACATACCCCCATTCTGTTTTTCGGGATCCCAGGTTTTTCAACAGATCTCCCTTGACTGAAACTTTAAACATCTAGAACTCCACAACACTACCAAATGCTGAGGATATTTGTTTGTTGTAAAGTCTACTCCCCTAAACAGCATACTAGAATATAATCTCTATCTATAGAAGGTGAGATGCACTTAAATAAGGGGTAAAATGGGGTAACTTGCTGAGTCTTGGGCAGGCTTCAGAACCAGGCTTAAAGGCAAGGGAGCAAGGAGCAATGGCAAAGAGTAGACAGCAGAATGAGTCCAGTCCAGCCTGGCTACAAGCTGCCAGAGTAGAGTCACTCTGCTGACTCTGCTGGCCATGGACATTGGAGGCCACCTCCCACAGCACTGCCACCTCTGTGCTAGGAGTCAGACCAAGTGTACTTGCTACCATTGCTGGGAATACTTGTTCTGGTTCTTGTTTCTTTACAGGGTTAGATCTTAGGAGAAGCCTGAGTGGTGGGGTCTGGGCATAAGGACCAGTGCTCATGCCTGCCTTCTTCCTGAAAGAGGTGCCAAGAGAGCAAATAGAGCACAGCTCCCAACAGCACAGTAAAGGTGAAGCAATTCCTTGATGAAAGAAGGGACTTCATTTCCTAGGCTAGCCCAAAGAATGACAGATGCCCATCAGAGGATCCCCAGAGCTGAAAGAAAACATCTTGCCATCATCAGAGGAGTATCAGATGTTGCAAATAACAGTAAATCCTGGACCTTAACTTAGAGGTTGTTCCCCTAGAATTCTGAATTCACTTCCCTGTGCTCACATTCAGCCAGCCATCTCTTCATGTTCTCAGGTGGCAGGCAAATTAAAAGATTAATTATCCAAGGTGAAAGCAGACACATGGTCCTCTTCTACAGTAGTTTTTAGCAAATGTCATAATCAGAACGTTTTTACTGTATACATCCCGTATACAGCCACTGAATAACACAGAAAATAGTGAGTGCTATTGTTGATGCAATTGGGATTTTGAGATTTATACAGGTAATTCCAAAAAAAAATCAGTTTTAAGGAAGAATATTTCTCTGAAGAATTTTTAAAATAGTTCTCATATAAGAATTTATTATTTTATACCATTGTTAAAAATCATGTAGTTTGAATTAACATTATATAATCACATTTCTTAATTTCAAAGATGATACTACACACAACCTTAAGGATCTTATGCATAAAAATAGACATGGCAAATAAAAACAGTCTTTTTTCTTTCTTTTTCTGTTGTTATTGTTGTATTTTTGTTCTGACTTGTTTTGGGTTTTTGCAGTGCTGGGGATGAAACCCAGAACTACACATGCTAGGCAAGTTCTCTACTACTGAGCCATACTCTCAGCCCCCCAAACAATCTTTATATTAGTTAATTTTCATAATAGCACACTAGTCACAGGACAATTTTTATGCAATCCAGAGATTGCAGAATGCTCAACTTTAAGACTCAAAGATCTTCATGGTCCTGTTTTCAGTATGTCTGAAGCTACTCTTTTAAGCTTCCAAAATACAAAAACACAAAAATTTTATAGTCATGATTAAAGATAGTTTATTGGAGTGATAGCTTTCCAAATGATTCTTGTATCACCGGTGCTGGCTCCTCCTGTATGTGTAGACATCAGTAATCATTTCCTCAGTTCTCTTTGAGACAGTCTGTAACTGAGTGGGCCCCGCAGTGTGCTTCTTCCTTCAGGTCCCTGAACTGACCTATTTCTGTCTCAAAATTTTTTAATTGCAGCCCAGGATGAAGGGTAGGTGATATCTTCAAGGACTGCATGGGAGAGGACAGCAGTGTTTTTGTTTCCAGACTTAATGTCTCTTCCTGGGCTTTCCACACACATGGTTATTCACCCCATAATTCCACTGAAGGAATTATGGATTAGGAATTAGGCTGTTGGTATGGGGATTGCAGCAAATGAAACCAAAAAGGCTCTCAGAACCCAGACTAGAACTAAGGAACTTTCAGTATTAAATTAGAGTCAGCCCGCCACCACATCTACCATTCTTTTCTTTCTGTAACCACTCAGTGGGTGTGTTTCTCTCAACTCTGATTTCCCAGGCAGCACAATTAATCAGACCCATCTCCATATCCACTGTGAGCGAGACAGGCATAGTTCAGGCCTTCCAGCTTGCCAGGAGGGCAGTAAGCCACTTGTTTTTCTTGGCAGAAATCTTTGTCTGCATGTGGTTCCTTCTCTTCTTTCCTCAGACTACAAGATTCAGATTCCTTGGGGCAGAAAGGACCCTCTGAATTTTCTGCACCTTGACTGCTTTCTGTGGCAAGGACCATATAGTTTAACCCTTCTTGGTTCTTGGTTTCCATTAAAGCAACTGGCATAACGTCATCTGAATTCAAACTAATTATATTGCCATCTTCACCTGTGAAGAAGCAAGAACGTTATTCTAGCACCTACTCAATTTGCTTTATTTGTAATAATACACAGGTTGTATGAGAATTATGACAACACCAACTCTATAGATCTGTTTAGCAAACATTTATGAGGACCATTAAGTGCTGGGATGACAAACATAAACAAGACATTCTCCTGGCCCTGGAGGTTGCACCAGTCCTAGTAAGGAAGCAGCTATATTACTATAGAAGGTGATGAGCACTTAAATAAGAGTCTATAGTAAATACAGTGAGGGTGCAGAGGCAATTAACTCCGCCTTAACAAATGGAACAGGTCATGGTCTTTGTGCCAGAAATTAGGTGGCTCCCAGATAGCTCTTTGTCTAAAATACTTATCTTTCATCCTGCCATAGCAGCCAAAAAACTACCTTAAAAGCTTTATTCCTAAAAAAAAAAAAAAGCTTTATTCCTTTAGATTTAGCAATTTAATTACTTCTTAAGATAATATGCACTGAATGCCTATACAGGTCAGGCTATATTCTAGGTACTCATGATACAAAGTTGCTGCTCTTCGGAGTTTACATTTTAATGGGGAGAGGCAGACAATGAACTGCCAGACAGCTGATTCTATGTCAGGTGTCGAGAAGCATGATAGAGGACAATTTGGCAGAGTAGGGGGCAAGAGAATTATGGTAGTGGAAAGAGGCTGCTATTTGAGATGGGGCATCAGCAAAGTGCTCTTTCATGAAGTGAAATTCTAGCCGAGACACAAATTAAGTACGAGAATTCACCATTTGCCTATCTTAAAGGATCATCCAAGGAGAGAGAAAGGGAAGAACAAGGGTCCAAAGGCAGGAACAGGCTGGTATGGATTGAAGAACAGCCAGGCAGCTAATGTGGCTGGTCCTCCTCAGTCATCCCCCTGGGTTAAATATCATATGAAACTATTAATGCTAATTGGCATGTAAAACTGGCATGCTTATGACCCTAAAAGGGAACATATATAAACCTAGCAAATTTTGATCACAGGGTCAAGGGAGAAGGTCAATGACATGAAACATTAGTAACTGTTAGGATTACTACTGATTCTGTGAGCTCTTTTAGAGCACTTACTACATGCCAGACTCGATTCTAACTATATACGTATGTTCACTAATTGTTCTCCTATTAATTAGGTTTTAGAATTGACCCCAATGAACAGATGAGGAAAATGAGGCATAGAGGAGTTAAATAATTTGCCAAAGTTCACTCTGCTGGAATGAGTCTGTGTCCTCCCAGCAGGGTGGGTAGAGTTGCCATGCTGTGTGAGGAGGAGCCATGTGGGCAGTGTGCCCTGCAGAAGTCCTTGGAAGCACAAAGACTGGACACCCAAGGGCGAGGAGGAGTGGCTGTCAGCAGGAAAATGGGCAGTGAGAGGGTGACTGGCCTTCTTCACAATTATGCTCATATTGCTTTGCTTTTATCTACTTATGTCATACATTTTCAATTCTGTGAACATGATAAATACTCAATTACTGTCTCAGAATTACCACAGTAGTATACTTATTGCCAATTTACGTCTTCGTAGGCATGCCCCAGATGAGACTATGGGACAAAATGGGTTAAAGGTGACCTCCTCACATAAGGAAATAAGAGGTCCCATAGAAACCTAACTACAGAGATTCTGAGCCATATCACAAAATTATAAGGAATCAAAATGATACTTATGCAATATAAACATCAATATAGAAACATTAACTCTGAGAACTGCTTGTTTTTTTTTTTTGTTTGTTTGTTTGCTTGCTTGCTTGCTTGTTTATGCAGTGCTTTCCACTCTCTGGGTATTCCTACCTGGATGAGAAATTTATAATCAGAAGCATTGCTGTCTTTTCATAAAGTATCATTTTAAAAATCAGAAACGTTTCAGTAGACAGATGATAGCCCTTCCCTTTCTCCTCATCACCCTTCGAGCAGGAAGGGCATTCCAATGTGTGCCCTTATTGGGTGAGGCGTGCTGGCCTGCTTACCTTGTGCACATAGCCCCCATGTGCACCCAGGTTTGGGTTATTTGGAATGGACTTAAGTTGATATAGGAGAAAAAATAAAATTATTTCAAAGGAGTAAGGGGTATTATACCTGTTTAGGGAATTTAATGGATCTACCTATTTATCATGTTCCACACCTAAACTACAAAACTGATTGTATTATAAGAGGATACAAATTATATCCCCACTCTATATCATAAGGTATATATTTCTTTTGCAAATCCCCCCTATTGCTGAAGAACAAGATGGCCAAGCTACAAATGGGGCCCTTGGGCATCATCTCATTTTGTTCAAAATCATCATGGATCACATGAATCATCTGAAAAATCATTTCAAACCTCATAAGTAGTCGGACAGTGTTGTAAAATATCTCCCCCATAGAAAAATTTCATCAGATGCCAATCCATGCTGGAAACCTGTGGAAGGACCCAGCTGTTATGATTATTTCCAACATGTACTAGTAGTCATTGAGAAACTCGCAAGAATAACTTGCTAGGTGTGCTGGTAGCAATAGAAAATATTTTAAAATGTTAGGAAGAAATAAGATATTTGAGTAGTTTGATGACCCATGATTAGGAAAACTAGGATTTTTTTTTTAAGGGCTTAAAAAAATTAGGCTAAAGGAAAGTTTAGAATTTCAACAAATACTTACATCTATAATATAGGTCTTCCCACCAGCTACATCAATGTCATACCTTTAAACCTTTAAATATTACATTGGAAAACTTGTACCAAAATATGATTTTAATTTTTTTTTGCTTGTTGAGGTTTTGAGAAATAATGTTTTATATGAGATAAATATTTTTGGGGGGGCAAATTTTGCTGCCACGTCAGAGAAAAAAAAAAAACATTAGCTAACTACTTCATTGGTTCCTAGCACTTAGAGCAATATTTAGTAACTTGACCCTGGCAAGCTTTCAGCAATTAATACATCTTCTTGTTGCATAAAAAGCTTCTGAGAGACAGTGGTAATGGGAGCAGATTGTTTTGTTTATTTTTACCTAGAAATTATTTAATAGCCCACAGGTCAGACCTAAAGGCAGATACCCTGAAAAATACAATGTGTGCTCAGTAACCTCTTTAAGAGGGAAATATTAAAATAAAGCCTTCCGAGTAAGACAGGGTATTTACAGACGAGACATATGCCGGCTGACTGGCTATGTTTAGAACAGCAGAGGAGCATTTAGATTTGTTTCCTGTGGAACTCTCTGGGACTGATGAGGTGATGTTTACACAAATGTTTGGATGAAGTCACTGGGATATTTTTACTAGATGCCCAGATATGTTACTAATCTTCTCTCTCTATCCCCTCTCTACCCCATTAGGTCAGTAGGACCATAGGATAGGCATGTCTTCCTGTAATCCTAGGGTGTTTTATTAAAAAACAAAACAAAACAAAAAACAAAAAAACCTCCAATGGCTTTCTTATCTTCTTACATATTTCCACAATAACAATGAAAACAGACACCTTATTGCTTTGTTAAATATACTCAACTATCAATAAAGCAGCGTTACTAACATATTTTTCTTTTTAAAAAAAGCAATTAAGTTCAGATTCACCTTGCAGGAACTGTTCCACTATTCCCATCCTTAAAAGATTGCAAACTCTTTCATTGTACTTTCTTTGTCTTTCCTGATTCTCTTGTTCCATCATTCTCTCAATTATCAAATTTTTAGTATTTTTCATACCTCTTTTCTTTATTGGTTTTCAGGATTTACATCCATTGCAAATAACAGAATGATTGTTGCACTTTTACTAAACTTACACTTCCCTCATGGCCCAGAACTGCTTGTTTCTTTCTTAAGTTATCATAGCTGAATTATATTCCCTGTTAAACTCTTCCTATATCATTATTCTGAATATTTATGTCAGCTTCTATACTTTTATGAATAACATTTAGAATTTTAATTCTTTTTTAATGTTTTAGTTGTAGATGGACACAATGCCTTTATTTACTTAATTAATTTTTTTATGTGGTGCTGAGAATAGAACCCAGTGCCTCACACATGTCAGGCAGGAGCTCTACCACTGAGCCACAACCCCAGCCCTAGAATTTTAATTCTTACTGCCAACAGATGGGCACCTAAATAAACTTGGTATGACCAGGACAAAATAGTGTATCTCTTCCCACAGGCCCTGGAGTAAGAAGTCATTTTATTACATCTCGCTGTGCAGCACACTATTGATAACATCATAGGGGAATATGTGGGCAATTTCCTTACCACAGCCACAGCTATATGTGATGGCTGAGATCAAAGACCCAAAAATGGAACCAAACTCTGGCCCCATCTCAGCAGTGTAATCATGGGAGAGTTGCTAAACCTCATTTTCACCATCTGTAAGACTGATTATAACACTCCATACAGCTATTGGAGTATTTAAGAAGTGAATCTACATAGCATAGTGAGTGGAACATAAAAGTGCTAAAATAAAATTAACTAAGATTGCAATTAAAATACTTTCGCAAAACAGATTTTGTTCTGTATCTTCAGTAAATCATTTGTTACCTTTCTCAGCTTCATAGATCAACTAAGGGATAGAGCATGGTAAAACGATTTCACCTCAGACCTCCAAGAGTCTATGGAAATTTCTGATAGAGTCTAAGATACAGATAAACCCTCAGGCCCATTGCGGCGGTCTCTGTGATTTTTATAAAATGTGGTTTACATACTGGAAGGAAAGGATTCCATGACCAAAGAGTTGAGTTTTAAAATGAAATGTAAGTCAACTGTAAAAATCCATACATCCCTCTGGAAAGCTGATTGTCTGTGCAGCATTTGTTTAATCTTTCTTCAAGAGCCCTTCTCCTTTGGGTTTCCATGACAATGCTCCCCTGTGGCTTTCCTCTTCCCTTTCTGCCTTCTCTCTACAGGCCCGCCATCTTTCTTAGTCCCTCACAGGAACACATACCAAACAATACACATTTTGCAGGAAAACATACAAATAAAAAGATATTCATTAAAGTAATTAGAATGGTTGCCTGGCTGGGGAAGGGAAGGAAATAGAACAGGAGAGGAATATGGGGACAAAGGGACTGAACAAATAAACAAAATAAGAGAGAAGCCCCACATAGGCCAGTGATAATAATGTGCCATAAATGGAGAGACTATAATTAACCCAACTCTGCACTTGAGGTCCAAACTAGTCTAAGGCAGGGAGGAGGAGGTGAACAGATCTCATGAAAGCATAGCCTAGCATGTTAATTCTTTCTCTAAAATTATCTTACAATATAAATCCAGGGACCATAGCACTATTTTTTTTTTAAAAAATAGTCTACAAAACAAAATAATTTTCAAGGAGGAAAATTATTTCATCATCATCACTTAATTGTGATGACCACAGTGACAGTATATTATTTCTTACCTACCCTAAAATTTCTTCTGTGTACATTCTATTTAATCTTGATCAGTTCTCATTGGGGAAAAAAACTAGAAAATACTTGAAAACTCAAACTTACCTTCAAAGCCTTCATTTAGGACTCCACTGGAGTTTGCCTCTTCTCTGCACTGAGAAATACTACTTAAGGAAAAATTTCTGAATAACTGAAGCTGGTCTTGAATTTTCTGGAAAGTAGGTCTTTCCTCGGATTCTTGAGCCCAGCATTGGGTCATTAAATTCCACCTGAATATGTGGATAAATACAGAAAAATAAATGATGATTGGATATCATTATTGGTAACCCAGGTAAGATCATTTTAGAAGTGAAAAACTTTGAGTTATTTCCAGGTTTTCATAACTTATTTAAGCGAACAAACAAAAACTTTGGATTCATATTTATGAGTCGCTTACAATACTATCTTTAATAGATAACACCTTTCTTTAAAAAAAACTGACATTATCTTAATAGTTATTAATCCAAACAAATAGATGGAATAATCTCTGTCAACAAAATCTTAACAGGACATAGGGGAAAAAGGAAATTTAGAAGTGCAAGTTAGACTGTTTCCATCTGGACATAACATTCTACCTTCTTAATAATGGTAGGTCTCCCCCTGAAAAAGTAGGGGGTCCCCTGCTCAGTGACCTCTTATGCTCCTTCCAAACTGGAAAACAGTGGGCAGTTGCTCTATGCCTTTGGGGTTGCTCACCTGATTTGTCTGAAGCCTGAAGAGGACTGAGAACCTATTTACCCAATACCTTCACCCTCCCAAGGCTATCTATGAAGTTGTCTTCTTTCTACATTTCCGCAGAACTTGTAAGTAGTGAAGTTTCTATTGATTTCTCTTTTTTATTAGACTGTTCTTATATACAGTTGTCATTCACACCTGGTACTTAATACACAACAAAGAACTAAAGGATTTTAAATAATTCTCTCCTCCAAAACTTGGTTTTCAAGTCTACTAAATTTACAAAAATTGTCAAATACCTGCTCTAATTTTTTTTTCTGGAGCTAGGAAGCAGATTGGGGCAGAGACAAGAAATGTTAGTTCTTCCATACTGGAAGAAAAATAAATTGTTCAAATTATGTTAACTTCTTTTAAAAAGCACTTAAGAAAATAAACATGAGTTCTAATAGAGATGGAGCATTTTGGGTAAGTTGCTCACAGAAGGTCTCTCTAAAGATATGACATTTAAGCCCAAGAACTTTGTAGGAAAATAAGATGCTAGTCATGGGAATAGGGTGTGGATAGGAAAAGCACACTAGAAGAGGGAAAAGCATGTGTAAAGTCCTAAATTTGGAAAGAGCTTGGCACAATCAGAACCTGAAAGAAAGCCAGTGTTACTGAAGTACAGTCATTGAAGGGAGAGAATGAGATGAGATCAGAAGAGAAAGGTGAGATCATGCAGGTCTCCCAGACCAGGCAAGGAACTGGATTTTATGTCACTACAATGAGAAGCTGTTGAAGGTCTTAAAGAAGGCATGCTTTTTACATTTTCCAAGGATTTCTCTAGCTGACAGAGAGACAGTGGGTTGTAGAGGGACCAATTGGAAGCTATTAAGGAAGGCTAGAAGAAAAAGAGTGATGGTTTGATTTAAAGTAATTAATGGAACTAAAACAAGATTATACTCAATCACCAGGTGACAATGACCCAGAAATCATCATAGGTATTGAGTCTAAAATAACTAGTATCTATTTTAGGATTATAATCTTCAATCTCCTATAATGTGGCATATGAACTCCACTTCCACTTACTTCACTTCTTGATAAGCACCTCAGGTCAGAGTTAGCATATCAGGGTATGATAGGGAAATATAAACATTGGGTTTTGGGTTTGGGGGGTTTTTTGTTTGTTTGTTTTGTATATTGATCTGATGACTTTTCATATGTATCACACATAATTTATAATCTGATCAGAAGAATACAAAACTTGGCTCCATTTTTACAAAATTAGAGTCATAGCTGAAAAATAACTGAAACACATCCTAATAAGTTGCATTTTTCTTTATAACCCTTGCCACTTAGAAATAAGAATGATACACAGATCACAATGGAGGATTATTAGATTTTGATGAAAGATATAAAAACTAATATCAAATCATGGAACTTAAACAGTTAAAAGAAGAAGATTGATGTCTAATCTTAGTGTTGTGTTGAGATTTATGAGGAGGAAGAAAAGCATTGTAATTATCCACCAGAAGCATATCTGAGAATAAATGTGATTATGTTTCAAAGATATCACCAAGGTACAGATAAAATCTCTCAAGACTTGACATATTTAAGTGATGAAGGTTTTACTTATAGTACTTATTTATAACCTGCTTCATTCCACAAAAGTTTCCATATGTTCAGTAGACCAAGAGGAAGGAAGGAAGGAAGGAAGGAAGGAAGGAAGGAAGGAAGGAAGGGAGGAAGGGAGGGAGGGAGGGAGGGAAGGAAGGGGAAGGAAGGGAGAAAGTAAGTAAGGAAGGGGAAGGAAGGGAGAAGGAAGCGAGGAAGGGGAGGAGGAGGGTGAGGACAAAGAAGTCATCCTCATGGCTGACACTAAGTCACCTACTTCTCATCTATACATTCACTGTACCCTTGAAAAGTTCTGCCTTTTGTTTCATCTAGTAATCCATTTAAGCAGTTATTCCTACTGTTTTTCATCTTTGGAGGTTTTAATTTACATTGAATCCAATAATTACTTTTTAAAAATTTTTACATCTTTTTTAAAATAAATAACTTCTTGATGGCAAAACACATGCTCTGTTAGTATATAAAACTTTTCAGTTCCACCATCCAGGGACAAATGAAGAATAAGAAAAGAGGAGCTATATTAAATATAAATCATCTAAAAGTCAAGAATACAACCTGTGCTTTCAAATAGCAATAAACTGGCAATGGAATAAAATAGACTTTTAAGAATTTCAAAATACCAAGAACAGAATTTCTTGCCTTTTTCAGTAAACTTACAGTTTCTATAGCTGTGGCATAGGGGGATTGTCCCTCAGAAAAGTGCACCTGTCATTGTTCAGTATCATGCTTTATACACTGCACTAATTACAGTTATAAATAATCAAAGATATTACTCAGATAATAGTCTAAATAAACTTGCTGGTCCTTCAAGTTCATTAACATTTACATGATTTGGCTGCACTATTCTACAAAAATATGCATTTATGCTTGAAGTATCTTGTTTGTCTAAGTATCCAGCTTCAAATTCCTCTACTCACTGTATGAACTCTTTGTTCCTCTTTGCCTTGATTTTTATTTTTTAAAATAGGACGGGACTCATTAGCTGTGTTCAATATTAATCTCTATGCTTATTAGAGTCCTAGAGTTCATGAAGCCATGGACGTTGAACAAAGGAAAACTCCATAGCATCTTTTAGCGTTAAGGGGGCAGGTATTTAAACAAAGCTCAAAAAATACAGATTTCAAAAATCCCTTACTCATTATACTCAGTCTTGGAGAGACCCAAGATACAGTTGTACATATTTTTTCAGGAATGAAAAGAAGAGGGTGAGACTCCTGCTGCTGTGACACATCTGTCATAGAACCCCCAAGAGCTCTCACTTGAGGTAGACTGCCCTTTGATCCTGTTTCTTCTCAGACTGGTGTAGTTGTTGTGCAAACTAAAGCTGAAGAGAAGACTGATGGCTGGGCTTTCCCCCCTCCACACATCTGAGCCTATGGAGAGAGGGGCAGGAATGCTCTGAATCCTGCATTCCACTAATAGCTAAAACAGCATAGCCGTCTATGGGCTCACCTGACCCAGAGTGCATCCAGGTGCTGAGAATTTAAGCAGTGAATAGAAGAAGGTGCAGCATGGCTCAGTGCAGACTTTCAACCTCTAAGCTGGGCCTGTGATCTCAGAGGACTGCTTCAAATAAAAATCAGTTCCCTCTGTACTCTAAAGAGAGTAGTTAATCTTTATCATGACAACTTAAGGCCTTGACCAGATTGAATGGCATCACCAAGAGCTCCATTTCCTAGCACAGCTTGTTTTGCAGGTTGGCAGTGGATCTTAACCCTTCCTGGAGCTCTGCAGAGTCATGCAGCACGTGGAAGTCTTGGAGCATTGCTCCCCTTTTTTTTTTTTAATTAATAATGTAGAAATGAACTTTAACACCCCCTAGTGAAAAATCTGGGTTTCAAGGAAACTGGATTTTCATAAAAATTAGGATAATAATGTATTCAACCAATGAATTATTCAAGAGAACACCAGATAGAATATTATCTTTTCCCACTCTTATCAGGAATACTTTCCTAGCATTTTTGTAGCACTTCTTCCTCCTCCTTCTAGTTGCATTTGTGCATACCTTTGGATGGAACAAAATTCGTCAGACCTATATTTTTCCGCAGTGCAAATCAGCAATTTGTTATTCATCTCCATTCTCCCCCAAAAAAATAATTAAATAAATCGGTCAAAATTTATGATTCAGTATCTATTACTAATGTGCCTGTACAAAAATATTGTATAATTATGAAGAGGCACATTACCCGCTCCTCAGGGGGACATACCAATAAAAATTTAAGAGCATAAGGAAAACTCTGCAATTGAAATTTTGGGGGACATTTCTCAGTGCTTGAGAGAAGTGTTAGAATGCAAAATAGATTAATGGTTACTTAAACTTCATTTCATATTCAGGTATGCTGCGGTTTTTTCCTTAAGCTATAGGTGAAATTTTTTAAATTTTTGAATGATTTCTTATCTCTAATTTGCAGATTTTCCCTATCTCTCCCCCAAAGGCTCATAAATAACTTTTTTTTAGGCACTGTTACCAAATCTGATCAAGTGTGTACATATCTCATCTCTTTAAAAAATATTCCAGAAGTTGTAAAAGCTAAATTAGAAATGAGTAGTATTGCAGAAACATTCACCAGTAGAACACCAATCAAGGTGCCCAGCTCTTAATCATCTGTTGGCTCAGAGCTGAATAATCCTCTAAATAACACTGCATAGTCAAGGCAGTACAACCATGGTGTGCATCCGCATACTGCTAATTCCTTTTGCACTTGTCTGTACCACACAGTTTAGCACTTTATTACATGCTGGCTGGTCACCCAACTGCACCGCGTGTGTCTTTTCATTCAAAATACATTCCAAGATGCAGAAGAGCTGTGGTGCTAGTATAAAGACATTTGTACTCCACACAATCCTCGGCTTGGTATTGTGTATATAATTGAGATATTTGGTCATTTGTTCTTTCAGAACCTCTTAGGTAAAGTGTCAAGACTTGATATTTCTTCTGAGGTTCTTCACAGGAGGCAAATGAGTATCCAAGCATAATAACCTAGCAATTTGTTTTCACTCAGATTGAGACAAAAATTACTCTCTCTTCTGGGGATCACTATCAGAATTCTATAGTGGTGAGGATCAATTTGATAGAGTCACTAATATTTAGTCATTTTGTGTTAAGTTCATAAACAGATCACAATATGTATAATTTTTAGTAATGCTATTTCCCATGGAAAACTATCAGTTAGATTAACAAAGGCAATATGACTTTGAAACAGTATATTCTTATTAAATAGGGCCTTTTAATTAAGATATTATCCAAATCACATCTCCCAAAATAAAATTAACAAATTCATGTACACACAGACAAACATACTTATTCATACACACAAAGCTATGTCTATTTGTTAGAATTAACTTGACAGGAGTATAAATAAACTCTACTGCCCAAATGTTTGTTTCTGAGTGAGCTGTCACATGCATATATAAATAAGAAGAAACTATAATGTGTTTAGTAAATTAAGTGTCACAATCAATCCACAGATTATGTGGCATACACAAATATATAAATTCCAGTTTTTATTTTAAAATGCCATATCAATGAGGCCTAAGATAATATACATTTTTGTTTGGGGGATGCTTGTGTTAATATAATTAACTTACAGATCATCAGGACAATTTCTTGGTGGTTCCAGTCTCCCTCCTGTTTGCACATAGTTTAAAACATCAAGGTTGGAATGAGCTGGATAAGGCTGGTGACCAAGAGTTAAAATCTCCCAAATCAGAACTCCAAAAGACCTAAAGATATAAAGGGTTGGCTTTAATTATACTTATTAGAGATATCAGGTTTACAATAGCTTCTTCAACATAAATTATTCCTGTGACTATAGGGCCTACTTTTGTGGTTGACATTATTGGCCTCATAACAGGCAAATAGGAGACTTGAAAAAAGTTAGAACTTAAGAAAATGTAGCACAGTACACTGCATATGGAACAATACTTCAAAAGTAATAGGAAAACTTAGTGAGGGCACATGCACACACAGAGACAAATGCACACAGATGCACATGCACACATACACACACTTATGCATGCATGTACACATGCACACACAGATGCGTGTGTGTGCATAAATGCTTGCACGCTGTTCCTCCCCCAGCTAAAACTTTATTATGGATTCCACTGCACATGGCTTTAGATAATCAGTATTGGACACTCATGTGCGTAAACAAGACAGCACTTCACTATTTCTCACATTTGAGGGGGATAGAATACTGGTAAACATAGAAAGAATCCATTTTATCTCAACCACAATTTTGCCTAGGGCCAGCTCAACTTAACAGTCACTGGACAAATCTTTACATTTAAGCAACTCTAATCAAAAGTTGGAAGTCAAGTAGCAAAAATGAGGAATCTTATTCAAATAATAAAAATATGTCCAAACCTCCCCAATATCCTAATCTTTTTGCCATCTATGATTTAAAGTCTACCTGTGAATCAATCACCAAGAAACTCAAAATAGCAGACTTTTGGGCACATATTTGGGTATTAATTCATAAGCACCAATTTGTATTTGTCATATATTTAAATGCCTGTGGAAAGTAATAAAACACTTGAAGTAAATCTCTCTCTTTAATATACAATTGTAAAATAAAGGATCAAAACTGATTGGGAGAGGAATGTAAGTGGCAGAGACCCAGGAATAGTTGCATCTTGACAACCAGCTTTCACATGAGCTTGAAGAAAATCGCTTAACTTCTCTGGTCTTCTGTTTTCTCACATTTAAAAGAAAAATGGGACTAGATGTTCTTTAAAGATCCTTTCTGACTCTGATGTTTGATGTTTGATGTTTCTGCCTGTGTTTCTCTGTGTCCCATTAGGCTCACCATACATCAGACTGAGTAGTGAAGATTCCATCCATCAAACTTTCTGGAGCCATCCACCGAACTGGGAGCAGGCCTTCCCCTCTCTTTCTATAATAATCATTTTTATAGATGTCCCTTGCAAGTCCAAAGTCCCCAATCTTTACTATCCGCGAAGGACTGGTATAGTCTTTGACAGACACAAGGCAATTCCGAGCTGCCAGATCCCTATGAGACAAATTATATTTAATAATAAAGTTCCGGAAAACAGATGAGTAACACTTGTAGGTAGAATAGAAGAAAGACTTCTTACAGAAATATTGCTGTTTTGAAGGAATGAAAATGTGTTAACTACTTTGTGTGACGTGTCCAAACTATAGGTAATATGGTACCTGTAGTTGTACGGTAATATTGTTTAAAGGGTTCATAATAACCCTTTAAACAATATATTCCTCTTTAATAGAGTCTATACCTGTGAATGAAGTGCATCTGCTCCAAGTAGACACAGCCTTTTGAAATATCTACACACACATCTACCAGGTCAACCAAGTTGAGTAAAGGACCATGAAGCTGTAAGAAATTAAGGAAAAATTATTAGTACTTTCCCAATTTGCACAAAATATACACATATAAGTGTGACTATTTGGACACATACATATACATTCACATACACATTTGTATATGATGTCCTGAAGGAATTTCTAGTTATGTTTACAATAATTCAAATAAGAGAAAAATGTTTTATATGCTTTCTATTGAAACATACACAAATGAAAGACTATATTTATAATAAGGAGAGCTGATGTGGTATCTTTATTGGGAAGATCTCACACTATAAGATCAGACAGACCAACGTTTGAAAACTAGTTCTGTTATTAACTAGTTGTGTGAACTTGCTTAAATTGCTTAATTAACCAAGTAACTTTCTCATATGTAAAATGGGCATAGTAATTCTGACCTTAAAAAAATAAAAATAAAATCTGTAATATTGTTGGGACACAGCAGGTACTTGATAAATAGTAGCTGCTCTCATGAGTAGTAATAATATTTGACCAATTCTACTTGTTTTAATTATTGGCCCTGGCACTCTAACATATCAATTAAGACTATGAACTAGTTCCTCATATGAGTCTCATAAAAATTGTTAGTAACACTCTTGGAAGAAGAAGAAGGAGAAGGAGAGGAGGAGAAGGAAGAGGAGGAGGAGGAGGAGGAGGAGGAGGAATCCAGCGCAAATATAAACTGGAGCCAGTACTGGTTGCAATGATTTCCAGGTGAAAAAAGTCAGTGAAAAATTTTATTCACAGCACATGGAAAAAAAATCAAAGTTCCTTCCTGAAGGAATGATCATACATTGTCTGTGCCTTTTCATTTTCCTGCAATTACCTGGTTTGGGCTTTTTTCATCCCTAATCTGATGCATTGAAAAACTTCCCATCTCTTCAGCTTCTTATACTTCCATTAGATCACCTTGTTGTGCCACTTCCTGTAAAATCCATTATAAATTCCTGAGTACCTCCCCACCCCACCCCCTGCCTGTGGCAGCCCCAGACTTCACCAGCCTCTCTATATGTTCATTTTACTTCCTCTCACCATCTTTTGCTTCAATCATTCTGGGATACATGTTGTTGCTTATAATTTCTCTGAATTTCTCAACCTCTCTTCTTTTTTTTTCTCCTATGATATTTTTCCCCCTTGGGATGATCTCCTTGTTCTTGATTTCCATCAACATCCTTTAATGAGCATCTCAAATGACTCCCAACCTCCAAATCCCTCAATTCCTCATGCAGAGGTGCTTTTAAGCGCTGCTCTCTGAGCCTTCTCTAACAATCTCAAATCTTGCCCTGAAACTAGTGATAATCCTACTATTCTGGGATTTAGTATTGCCATAGCCCCACACAACTACACCGAGGGTGGATTAGCTAGGATCTGACCTTACACCAAGAATCATCCCGCCTCCAACCTTGCTCAGGTCCACTAGATGACTATCTCGTGGCCTAAATTTAGTCGTCTCCTGAGCATCCTGACTGCTTGACTGGTTCCTGTGTGTGAAGGGGAACTCTGTTTGATCTTGGTAAAATCTACTCTACTCATGAAGACTCTCTTGATTTAGAATCCTGCTCCTGAACTTCAGTCTAATGATACTGCCCTGTTCCTTGTACTGCGGACGAGATTTCCATAATGCTGCCTGCCTGCCTGCCTGCTTGGATCTATGGCTATTATCACCTCCTCTTATCCCTGATGGGGACACCTCATCATTCTATGTTGGGCCCCCTGGACTTTAGATGCTGCCCGCATCTCCTGCCTGCTGTGTCTTGCTAAACCCTTCAGATGTATTAAACCTTCACCAGATCCCATCCCTATTCAAAGCCTTAATCACTCAGGAGAAGATATAATGTAACCATTTATATCTCCTACCTTAGCTGTATCCCAAACACATGACCTCCACCAAGACACCTTCCTTGCTTTTCTTAGTTAGGAATCACCTCTCTTTCCTCTTCAGCAATATATTCTCCACCCCACTTTAATGGGTCCTTCCTAATGGGTCTACTTGAGGGTAATTGATATGTGACCTATGACAGCCATCCCTACCAAGTGGCAAGTTCCTTGAGACAAAGAACCACATCTTTCACTGTCATACAATAAATACCAACAGACATTAAACAAATGAAATTGCTCTTGAAGACAACACACATTTATTACTGTATATTTGTATTATTTTGATAGTTTTTCTTTTTTATCTTAATCCAATCCTAGAACATCAAAGCCAAAAAGAACCTTAGAAAGCTTTTGATTCAATATTTCAGTTTATGGATGAAGAAACTGAGTTCCCCAAATCGAAGTTTCTAGACCTAGTTGCAGTCAATCCTTATTAACCAGTGTGGAAGCAGGACAAGGAGGTAACTTGTACTGGTTCTTCTAGAATGTGTTTCTGAGCATCCCTGTGTAGAGGTGGCTAGTCTAGAATGCATCAACCTGAGGGGGGACATCATGTCTGGGTATTCCCTCATGGGCACACAGAACCTAACAGCATCCTGTCCTCTCTGGTGGCAGTGAGTGAGATGAAGCCCTGGAAACTTCCTGGTCAGCCCACAGGTAACCCGTGAGAAAAGCAGCAAAAGATTTGGAATATAGTTGAAAATCAGCCATTATAACCATTGGGATCTTGGGTCAATAGGTAATATTTTTAAAAAGTAGATCTATATTCTTTTGGTCCATCTTCATTCTCTCCCCCCATGTCACCAAAGTAAAACATACAAATAAACATTCTTTGAATGTGTGCATCTTTAGTTCTACTTTCTCCCTAATACTAAAATGATGATGGCGGTGGGGGGGCATGTATTTTGGAAACTCACAAGGACAAACAGGTCAGGTGAATAGATATAACAGATAAAACATTTTGGAAGACGGAAAGCAGATGGAGGAATGGTTACATAAGGGAGCCAAGATTGGGGACAGCTGACTTCCAGCAGACGGAGAATACACAATTGACTTGGTTTTTCATGATACAACCCCATAAAAGCTCCAGAATGGAGGTGGCAGGTATTTCTGAATGCAGGGATAAGGGTCAGGACAGAAAGCAAGGTGAATATTTAGTTCTTTCAGAGTTAACTAGATCCCAGACATCCTAGCATGGCAGGCATCTTTTCTCTGCAGAAGAAGAAGAAGAAAATAAAAATCTAAATCAGAAGAACTCTAAGATAAATAATAATAATAATAATAACCATATTAAAGCACTGGCTGACAATGAAGAATAAAATTAAGTGAGAGTCCTCACTGAGCTTTGAGACCTCCAATCCCCTTTTGACTTCCTGAGCTAAAACATCAGGGTTTTATTACCCAGGGAAAAAAGACCAGCAAATCCCTTTCTGTTGAAACCAACATACACTAGGGAAGAGATTCAGATGGGAGCATCAGGGGCCTGCTCAACAACCAGAAGGAAACTTCTTTACACACACAGGTCCCAGTCAGCTTCTTGGGCCTCATATTAAATATAAAGACCAGCCAAGACTCACCAAACAAGAATTGTAGGTGTGGCTCGGTAGTAGAGCTCCTGCCTCCATATGCAAAAACCTGAGTTTGATCCCCAGCACCAGGAAAAAGAAATCAACAAACATTTTGAGAAAACCTTCTCACATCGAAAACAGATTTCAAAACAAAGAGAAAAAATGAAATCAAGAATTGGAAGCAAATTAACTTTTTAAAAAAGGATTAGTATCCCAAGAAATATAGGACAAAATTTTGAATCTATGAGAAAAAATAGAATCTTATTTTAAAATGCAAAGTATAAGTTTGTGAAAAGTTGAAATATGGTAACAGAAACTTTATTCTATAAAAATTTTAAGGGATAAAGTCTAGGAAATCTATCAGAATGGAGAGAAAAAGAATAAGAGATAAAAAATAACAGAAAATAGCCAAAAGTAAGAGAATCTGAAACAAAGTAGCCCCCTGTCCAACTAAGAAGATTTCTGTAACTAGGAAATAGAGGAACTAAGAACTGTATTTATTATCAAAAAATAATATTAAAAAAGGAAGGGATTGATTTTTCAGTCATTGTCCAGAAAAGAGTATACCACACACAAAATTTCACTAAAATTTTCCAAAAAGAGGGGCAAAAAGCAGATCACCAGGAATCAGGAATCAGAACAGCATAAGATTTCCTAGTGGCAGTTGTAGAAGCTAGAAAACAAAGATGGTTTTTATTTGGGAATAAGAGGATTTTTCAACATAGAATCTAACCAAATTATCAATCAAGTGTGAGGGAAGAATAAACGACGATATTTTCTCAAAAAAAGGGGGGACAAAAAACCAAAATTTTGCCTCACATGCACGCTTCCTCATTCTTGCTCTTTCCTAAAACAAAAACAAAGAAGTCATGAGATAGAGGGTAAAAGGTCTAGCATAAAAAGAATTGAGATCCATGACCAGAATACATCTGAAGGAAATCTCTGGGATAGCAGATGTGCAGCCAGTTTGAAGGACAAGCACCTATATGGCCTCAGGAAGGAGGGACCCAGGAAAAACTAAACAGCTGGATCACCTGATGGACTAGCCATAGTGAGAAAAGTGATGTAATCCTAGCAGCGAGCTTAACTAATAGCAAGCAAAGCAAAGGAAATAAATAAATAAATAAATAAATAAATAAATAAATAAATAAATAAATAAATAAGAGGCATTTAATAAAATAACCCAAGCAGGGATGGGGTGGGAGGGATGGAATCAAAATCCCAGCATTTGAGTAACTGAGTTGCATATAATAGTTAAAGTTTGCAATAATGCAAAGATGGAATACTGATGTATCTGCAAAATGTGACAATAGTTGGAGGATGGGAAAAGCAAAGTTTTTCTGTGTCTAATGCTGGTAGGGTTGGGCAGATATAGGAGGAAGTATAAGTTAAAGTTTCATCTTTCATGGATAGATTTTTTTCCCAGGATCAATGTGCGTCAGTGTAAGCAGAGTCTTCAAGGATGTGGAATTAAAACACCAGAAGATACGTGCAGGCCTGGGCGGTGGGAAAGTCAGGCAGTACAGGGCTCCTATCATACATTTTAATTTTTTAGTCATATAATATAATATATTTGATAGGAAAATATCCAAATGTTTTAAATCTACAGATTTAAACTCTAATATCTTGTCTCACATGTTTTCTCAACTGAAACATAAAGTAGATTCCCACAGGTGATCACCTCCTGACTCTGTCCACTAATCCACAGTATCTCTAGAGTTCACACTGAAAAAGAGAAGACAGATCCGAGGCAGAACTGTAGAGCTGACAGGAGTTGAGAGCGTGGATGTAGGGGGAAAGAAGGCAAGGAACTGGATGGATGGGGCAGGAGAGGAATAGAAATCAAAAGGTTTGTATTGGCCAAAGCAAGTTCAAGATGCCTAATAAAATCCAAAGTGATCTGTCAACCTAGGTAGATCTAAGTCAATAGATCTGACCTAAGGGTTTAGAATTTAATAAAGACTTCAGGACTGGAAATATAATATGGGACAGACAGGCATATAGATAAGGTAAAGAGATAGGCCATTCCAACTGCACACAATCTCTGTGTTCCAGAAAAAAAACACAATTCTGACCATGAGGGACTTATTTTCTCATTAAATACTAAACAAAGGCTCAAATTGTCCTAATCTAATGCTAAAGGTTATCATGGAAATCTTGTAAGGTTCTGCCTCCAGCCAAAACTACAACCTGTTGAAATAAAAATTAATGGGAAGTTATAGGCATTGGCACAAGGAAATCAATGGTGTGGACCCTTCGGCCTACCGTTGTCATCCGGGCTTTACGCAAATAGGTTAAAAGGTCACCTCCTTCCATCAGTTCCAGGATAATGTACTGGGGTTCATTCAGCAGACAAACTCCAAGCTGCTTCAGAATGTTGGGATGATTAAACTTGCTAAAAGGTGGAAAGACAAAGACTAAGGGCATGACAGCAACAGGAGACCTAGCTGAGACTCCTTATGAAATAGACAAATTCTTTATCCATAGTTTCCTTCAGAATCCCTGACTTACTTTCTTTAATAGGTGCAAGCTTCCTTTTCCAACTACTGGTCTGTGTATGTGCCTTATGGAGGTAACGTGGCAACCCCTAGTGGCCAATGTATGTGGATAGAATAGGGTGGGATTTTAGAAGAAATAGCATTTATATTAAAAATTTTTAAATATTTCTTTTTAAATATCGTTTTTAGTTGTTGATGGACCTTTATTTTATTCATTTATTCATAGGCAGTGCTGAGAATTGAACCTAGTGCCTCACACATGCTAGGCAAGTGCTCCACCACTGAACCACAACCCCATTTGTTATAGAAAAGAAAGCAATTTGACTAATAGCCTTCTTCAAAAGCTGTTTGGAATCTTTGGTGATATTTTTGGTCATCACAAGTGTGAAATATATTCTTTCCCTTTTAGAGAAACAACTCAAGTCTACAGGTTTGGGCTGCTCTACTGGTTTCTTAAGACATCAACATAAGCCCAGCCTACCATCTGGGACTCACAGTCAAGGATTCCCTGAACTGCTTCCTTGAGTCTTCATTTTAAGATGTTCTTGATAAAACAGAAGTGAGATCAGTAGAACAGCGTTAGGGGATTGAGGATAAGGCGGGGAATGAGAAGGAACAGAAATGAAAATAAATTATGCTATATGCATGTATGAATAAATCACAACATATCTAAAATTTATATATAACTATAATATAATAATTAAGGTATTTATTATATATACATTGTGTATATATAAGTAGAAGGGAAACTAGTAAGGCAGAGGCAAGGAGGGAATCATGTTATGTACAAACATGAATATGTCACAATGAAATGAACTCCACTATTATGTATAAAACATTTTAAATGATGTCCTTGAGTATATATTATGGCCATAAACTGATTGAAACTTTGCAGACAGGTTTACTAGACAGGGATATCAAATAATGCTTAAGAGAACTCTCCCTTACAGGGTCTACTTCACCCATTATCACATATTTTAGAACACAGATGTGTTTAAAGTTGAACAGCTTCAGAATTCACTTGCAAAGTATCCCTCTTATCAAAGATAAAAGAAAGGAGAACCTTTTGCCTAAGGGCTGCCTGTACCCTGGCTCAGCTGACTGGCCTCCACAGAATATTTATTAGTACAGACATATTTCCTCTCAAACTTTTCAGTCATGTTTGCTTTGAGCAAAATTTGTTATATCCAGTCATTTTGCCTGTTAAAAATCCAATGCACAGAGACAAAAGCTTCCTACTCACATCAATAAGAGAAAATTATTTTGGAGCTACCCTGATACCTCATCAGATGTGCTTCCTTCAGGAATTCAATTTTCTCCTGGTCTGTGGAGCCCTTCTTCAAGGTCTGTGCAACAGAAAAACAAGTCAGTAATCAGTACAGCAGCCATCCTGTGAGCTCAGAGGGTTAGTGGAGAGGGTTTTGTTTTTCAGTCTTCACCCTGAAAGCTGTAAATAGACCACAGATGCAGCATGTGAGTGTGACCTGTAAACCTCCTCTTATTGCTAATATAAGAAAATACACTAGATAAAAGATCTAGTAATATTTATAAAACTTTTCTCCAAAGGATGGGAATTTTAAAAAGAAACCAATTTTAGCATTTAACAGGTCAATATCTTACTTTTCAAAATTTTCTACTCAATATGTATTTCCCTGATTTCTTTGCTAACAATACCCAAATTTATTTTTTAGGGACAAGGTGCCAAGTCTTAGGTAGTTGATGTAAGTTACTCATGAAAATCTGTTCTGAAATTCTCTAGCCTTCCTTGTAAATAAGTTTTAGTTCAGTTCTGGACCCAAGAAAAAACTGCTGAGCAGGAGAGAGGCTTGTGGAAAACATTTGCATTCCTGAACATATATATCTAGCACCATTTTACTCCCTTTTCCCTGGACTGAATGAAGATGTGATGCCAGGTTCTTTTCAGAGATACTGGCTCTTATAGGACATAGGACTACACCAAAACCAGCAGTCATCTCATTATGTGAGAACAATAAACATTTGTTTAAACCAATTGAGACTTGATTAAGTAAAAGTATTTTTAAAGCATATTATTTAGAAGTGGAGAGAATTTTGCCATGTTTCTGGTTGCACAGGTTACCCTCAAAGCAATAAATTCCTAATAAGCTGTGATCATGATGGTGCACAATTGCATTAACAGTTTCATTATCCCTCTACCAAAAGAAAGTTTTACAAAAATACGAGAGTGTACCCAGTGCTTCCTTAAAAATACATCAAGCACACCATGACAAACAATCACATAATACAAATTTCAATATTCATAAATAAAGTTTTACTGGAACACAGCCACACTAAATAGAACATATACACTGTGGCTGCTTTAGAGCTGCAATAGCAGAGTTGAAGAGTTGAGACGGAGACTGTGTGGCCCGCAAGCCTAAATATTTACTACCTGTTTATTTGAGAAAACACTTGTTGACCCTGCTCTGATTCTTTGAGAATGTATTTTGTAATTCCAGTTTTCATTTAGAATGATTGATGGGAAAAAAAAAAAAAAAACAACGTTCCCCAGGTCTCAGCTAACAACCTTAGAGGTCATGTAAACCCTGGAGATTTTCTGTTGATTATACAATCTATCTGGGAATTGGGAGGGATGGGAGGATAGTGACTTCTGTAGCTATGGATAGGCTTCTACATTCTATCAGTCAATTTTTAAGTTATTTTTATTTTTAATTGACATACTTGTACATATTGAGATGTACAATGTGATGTTTTGATTTATGTATACATAGGTTAATGATCAAACCAAAGACTTTCATCATTTATTAGTGAGTACATTTAAAAAATCCTCTCTTCTATTTTGAGAGATACATATACACTATTGCTAACTACATTCACCCTACTCTTGGTCCTCTTTTTAGCTAAAAGTATTCAACTTTTATTAAAGTCCTATCCATGCCAACCCATATAAATATGGTGACCTAACTAGTCAAGAAATCCAGAGAGCCACGTTACCTTCACTGCCACTTTGATTTCTCCACTTCCATCTCCTAAGATGTCTACAGCTGTCCCTTCATACACTTCTCCAAAGGCTCCACTTCCCAACAAGAGGCGCAGGGTCAGTTTCTCCCGAGGGAAAGCAGGAAGATTTTCAATCTCCTCTTGGGTCGGAAGAGTACTGTAAAATAACAGCTTAAAGTTTGTGTTTGAGAGAGAAAGAACAATCTCAGGGCATGGCAGCATTGTCGGTTCCATGTGATATATAGTGTATGAAATTCTGTGCTCCTATTAATACTTCTCGATTCCACCACCTTTTACAGAGAGCAAGTAGCTTTGCATCCAGGCATCTTCACTTCAACAGAAACATGCATGTGTATGTGTTGCTTTGAGATTTTTTTTTAAACTAGTTTTATCAAAGTTAGCGGCTATGAACTTCTTCAGGTTGCTAATTTGTGTGAAAAATGATTAGAAATTAGCAATAGATGCATCTGAGTCTATGTGTTTTCATTTCAACAGTTTCATATACCTGATATGTTTTGTAAAATGGAATTTACTATGATCAAAAAAAAATCAACCCCATCACCATCTAACAGGTTAATTTAGAAAGCCAGTCTCCTCACTTGGACTATCATGAGATGGAGTCTCTAGATTAAAGCTTTGGGTTTGCAGGGTGCAATTGGCACACGCCTGTAATTCCAGTGGTTTGGGAGGCTAAGGCAGGAGGATTTTGAGTTCAAAGCCAGCCTCAACATCTTAGTGAGACCCTAAGCAACTCAGTGAGATCCTGTCTCTAAACAAAATATAAAAAAACAGTTGATATGTGGTTCAGTGGTTAAGCTCCCTTGTATTCAATCCCTGGTAACTTTGGGATTTAATAGAAAATCTTGAATATCAGATATGCTGAGTATTTTGTCAAAGAAAAGTCAGTTCCAAATATCTGGTTACCTCTGTATCTACTTTAAACTCTTTGTTTTTATGTCATGAATTATAAATTTCTAGAAGCAAGACATAAGAACATACCAGTACCATTCCTTTTAGTATACACTATAATACAAAGAAACATGCAAAGAAACACTTAAGTATTTTTCTCAATTATAATAACAAAAGAAGATCAAAACTCATCTGTTTTACAGAGATTTTGAGGCAATCACCATGCCACTTCTGAAATGGGCTTAATATGAGATGCTGGGTATTTCCTTTCATCTCAAATTCTATCTCCAATGGAACCAACCACGTTACCATCTACTCTCTTCAATGTGGTATTTTCTTCTTTCATTTAATCTTTAACTACATGATAAAACACTGAAAAGCAATGGACTTTTCTGTATTTATTTTATAGGATAACCACATAATTTGCCAATCATCTCTGGTCACATCAGAGACTGGAAGAGAAAGTTATCAATAATTATGCCAGAATAAGGGGCATATTGTCACCCACTCTTTGCATTGGAGCTCCATAAAGAATGCCCATGCTACGTACTGTATTGCATAGCAGGCGTTAGCCAGTCCCACCCCAGCTGCCAGGCCTCGCAGCTCTGCCAACTCCTTGTCTTCGTTTAGGAGAACTGTCAGGCCTTCCTTGGAAGTTTTTGGATTCTTGAACTTTCTGTGCCACACTTTAAAGCAAAAAAAAGAATTTAAAAAATAAAATATTGCTTCCTTTTTCCTTAAGGACATGCTAATACACTTTAAATGCTTGTGTATAAGAGCATAATCCACAAAATAATAGAACTTGATTAAAAAAATGTGCCCACAGTATTAAATCCAGATAAAATGTCCTAAAAATATACAAGTTATATACATCACTTTTATCTCACTTCTCTGAGTAAAGCTTAACATATTATTATAAATAAATTGAAGCATCTTAATATTAGAATTTATTTCTCAAAATGACCCAAAATAAATCAAAACATACTTGCATAATAACTATTAGTGAAACATTCATTTCTGACTCCAGACATATTCCATTTAGTAGACCTGAGGGAATGCTTTCAATACAATGGCACACTAAAAAATGCTTTCAATATAATGACAGAATGCAAAATTATTAAATCTATTGTTGTTTATATATGAATATTCAAATATATGGAAAAATAACTGGAATAAAAGCCACTAAACATTAGCAGGTTTTCCCTTTCATTTTGGAATCATGAGTAATTTATATTGTCTTTTTATAACATAAGCAGATATAATATAAACTTTATTTTTCAAAGATTAAAATGCAATTGTAGATCTCCAATCTACAGTGTAATTTTGACTCAGAAGTTGAAAACTGCAAAGATGCTTTGGGAGATGATAGTTAAAATATGGACTTCATTTCATAGTAGTTTCTATATCCAAGAGGGTTAGAGTTTTATTCACATGAAATTCCTCTGGAGGCACTATAAAGGGAAAAGTTGCAAGTACCTTTGCTACTGCAGTTTTTCAACCCTGAGATGTTTTTCATGTGCTTTCTATATTTTTAAAGACCCAGGGTAAGCCCTACATTTTTGGTGACATCATCTGAGACCCCTGCAAACTCTGTGGCTCTCTCATCTCTGAATTTCAAAGACCAATTGTATCACTGTCTTGTACATTTTATGTTATTTAACACAGGTAGTGCTCTTTTCATACTGGTATGTCTTACCACCCTCATTAAAGGGCAAGTTCTAAGGTCAGTAATTGTATTTTTACAGCTTTTTATTTCCTTTCTATGCTTAAGCATAAGGCTAATGTTGCACATTAGATAAAACCACTCACCAACTCAAAGGCTGTCAATGCTTATTTTTAAACCATTCTTTCAAGTTTATAAGTATGACCAATGAGAACCCTCAGCACAATACAAATTTTAAAAGAATTGCTACTTCTCACCATTTTAATAACTCAGCCTTTTTTCATGCATTCACACACTACTAGCAAAACCACATGCACTGCTAATGAAAGCAAAAACTGGATTAGCTTAGCTACATTCAAAAAACCATGAGTTCCAAACAGAATAAAGACCTTTAAGTCCTGAGAAAGTCAGAGATCCATAGAATGTCTTGAAAGCACACAATAGGTTGTCTGAAATTATCTCATGTTCATCCACTAGAGTCATGGGTTTAAACAATGGTGATGTACAAGCAGGCAAACAAAGGTCAGATGAAGGGTTCTTCATGTAATATCCTTTCTAGCACGAAAGCAGACAAGCAGTCAAGCCTATATGCCAACTGCCAAATATACTGCAGTCATATGTGTAACTGTGGAGGGGCCGGCTTAGTGGCACAAACATCAGCTGTGCAATACTTAGACTCCCTGGAACCACAGGTTAAAATCCTAGCAGTGTCAGCTGAAATTTTTAGCTTTCCCACTTTGCTGAAGGAGTTTCTCATATTGTCTGAGTGGAATCTTTGAAATGAAATCTCGATTCAAGTTCAAAGTGCTCTCTGATACCTTGTGACTCCCAGTCAGTTTAGAGAAAGAATAGAGATTTAGAACACTGAACGAAACATTGGCTTTCTTCATCCTTAGAGAATCTGCTTTATGCTTCTAACTTTCCCTTCAAATTTCTCTTATTTATAACAAAATAAGCTACAGGTTCTTGATAATGTGCTTGAGTTCCTTTTCTGGCATTATGCTTTCCTCACAATGTTCCAGCTTGTCAGCAACAGAGAATGGGACCATATATGTTAGAACCCAAACCAACAAGACATTTTGAGAACTGAAAGAGAGTGCTATTGATATTTACAATGAAATAACAGGAAAAATCAGAACATATGATCACTAGGATCACCCTAAGGGCCCTATATCTGACTGTCTGTGTTGGGGTTGCTACTCTATTGTCTCATCACTGAACTAAATCTTAAAAGAGGGTGGGGTATTTTAAGACTAGCACATCCACTTAAAATGAATAATGGGAAGTAGCTAACTCACTATCTACCTACACTACTTCTTCTGCTTTCCTAGTCATTTACAATTAAGCAGGGTTTTGAAATAAGCCAGCCAGACATCTGAAAGTGAGCATGGATCCTACAAGCCAGAAATGGATCTCCTGAGAAAGAGGCCCTGCTCATTCCAAACCAGGCTGTCTGCCTGGAGACCAAAACTATCCTGACCAAAAATTGTCACTGGCCTCCTAACTAATCCTACACTCTTTTTGTACCCAGAGTTATTTTTCTTTTATTTATTTCAATATGAAAGCCACAAAACACTCGTTATAGCCAACCAGAAGCAAATACTGCTTTAAAGAAAGCTAGAAGATGGTGACCTTGAAAATAGTTTTATCTAAAGTACACCATGAAGTGTATACCCAGATATATTTTTCATAAAATAGTTACCCTTGCTATGGTTTGGACCTGGAATGTCCCTGAAAGTTCATGTGTTCAATGCTTAGTCCCCACCTGGACACTGTCAGGATGTGGTGGAAACATCAAGAGGTGGGGCCTAAGGAGAGGTCATCAGATCACTGAGGGCATTCTCTTTAAGGGGAAAATGGACCACATCACCTTCCTCTTCCCCTCATTCATTCCTAGCCATGAGGTAAGGGCCTTGCTTGGTCATGTATTGCCATGATGTGTGCCACACACCCAAAGAAACAGGGCCAGTCATTAATGGACTGAAACCTCCAAAACTGTGAGCTGAAATAAAGCTCTAGAGTAACAGAAAACTTACTAATACATCCCTTGATTTAAAAAAATTCACAGAAATTATTCATTATAAAACGATGGCCAAGGATAACATTGAATTATATGAATATATTTAATCAGGTAATGTCTCATGCAGGAGGTTAGATAAATTGCAAGATAAATCAATCAGTACAAAATCAAACAAACAATAGTTTGTTACCTAGTTTTAAAATCTCTGACACTTACCAAATGTCAATGGGATTGTAACAACCAGAAATACTCCAACCACAGTGATAAGTACAAAACTTGCTTCTGGTATCCAAAAACCATCTAATGAAATAAATGAGAAAAATAAATTAATTCACAGAATAAAACAAATTGTCCCAATCTGACCCAACTACCTACAGAGTGATTAGCCAGAGATAGTTTCTACTTGATTTTTGTAAGCCAGTTGGTAGTTTGAAATCATCTATGGTGAGAGTATACACACCATGGAAAATCAAAATAAAAGTCCCAACACTCAACTGAAATACACTCACCCAACTTGCTATTTTAAGGTGACAAAAGAGACACGTATGATCTTTTTAATGAATTCGAGACAAAGAAGTCTCAGTCTTTATATATTATATAGTTGGGATTATTATTTTTTTATTCATGTACATCTAATTTCATGGATATTAAGCTGAGGAGAGCAAACGTGAAAACATGGTGTCTTCTCTTAGGGATTTTCAGTTGCATAGAAGAGATGACATGTAAACCAGAGTTTGGCACACAACAGTCTGTGGGACAAATCTGGCTACAGCCTTATTTTGGTTTTCCCATGAGTTAAGAATGGTTTTTATAATTTTAAAGTATTACTTTAAAAAAGGTATGCTATAGAAAGCAAATATAGTTTGCAAGGTCAAAAATATTTGCTATATTTGGTTCTTTTCAGGAAATGTTTGCTAAGATCTTATATAGATAACTAACCATAATACAAATAAGGATAAAGTTTTATATGAAAGGTGTGCACAAAATGAAATCATTGATTTTGCCTAAGGAGTGTCAGTCACACATCATGATGGATTCTTTTAAGTCAGGTTTTCAAGGATGAAGAGAATTTCAATTGGCAGAAAATTAAAGAAAAGCAATTCCAGTACATGGTAGGAGGGTGGCGTCCAACCTTCTAGGCTAAAGAAGACACAAGGCCAAAGACCTAGTGACAAAAGATTTTCTAATTAGTCTAGTACAGCTACAGCACAGGATTAAATAATGGGAAAAATTAACTACAATTGGAAGATAAGTCATGGAAGACTTAATATGCCACGTAGAAGTTTGTAGTGGCAGCAAATAAAAAACCATTTTGGTACATTTAAGAGGGTTAAGTGAGCTAGACTGTGCTTCAGCTAGAGTACTGTCAGCAGCATGTTTAAGCCAAAAGCCAAGCTAGAAAGAATACCTTAAATCACCCAACATGAAAATTGGAAAATACAAACTCAGCAGAAAGAAATCAAGATGGTAAAATCAACAGAACCTGGTGACTGCACAGAGAAAAAGATTAAATATGCTACTGAGACTTCCAGCCAAAGTGATTAGAAAGTTAAAGTATTGGAAACTAAAATAAGGCACACAGTACAAGAGGTAAGTATTAGAAAAGAAACCCCCAAAAAAGTGGTTCTAGGATTATTGCATGTAAGATGGGAGTGCCAGGAACAGGATAAAAGACTGAGTAGTTAAAGAGCACATTGTGGATGCCTTGGAAGCCTACCCAGGAGTTCATGTGGTAGTCATTAAGGGGTATTTGGTTATTATTGAAGAGTAAAATGACATAGTGATAATGATGTTTTATATAGGAAGACCACGTCAGATGAATTGAATAGTTCAACAATAAGTGCATAAGTTATGCAATCACCATATCTGGTACTAAAGTTAAGGATGCACATATCTTTATCACTGAACTTTTATGTAGTAAGCCAGTGTGTAGGTAAATATGGTGACATACCTCCAACTAGTATAATATTCTCACTGATTCCACTGTATTCACCAAATCCAAGACTATTTGCAGCTACTACTCTAAATTGAAAAGTTCCTTTCAGGTTTTTGGACTTCCACGTGCAAAGGCTACTGCAGGATCCATTAAATACCATCTTCCACCTTAAATTCTGGTTTTTTGAATCATTTGAAGTGTTCTCCCTGCAAAAGAAACACTAAAATAGTAAACACAGAATATAAACATGATAATATATGTGTTATTTCTGGTTACTCAGATATCATTTTAATGCAGAACTCCAGAGAGTTTCATTGTACACTTTACCCTGGATCTCATTTCTCCCATATGGTATGGCGGTAGAACTCAGCATGGTTTACAAAGTTACCCTACTCATAGAGGAGCCAAGCAACTCAGCCCATCCAAAAAGTTTTGAATAATCAGTAGACAAGAGAAAGAGAGCAAATCTTTTCTTGCTGTTTAAAATGTGTAAAATTTCTTCAGCATTTAAACACATACAACAATTATTTCATAATTTTAATAGTAAAGTTTCAATTATTCTTAATTTTTAGTTTCTTATGATATTGGGAAAATCACTTATGCCATATCTGGATAAAATACACACTATAAATTAATAAGGAAGGTGCGATATTTCAGTCACCAAAGTTGTTGTATCTGAGATTCCAAGGGTCCTTGCTTCCTTTTCTATTAGTCTATACTCTACCTCAAAGCCAATCCACATTGAAACAGAAAAAGAGCACCAGTTCTAAGTTCAAAAGATGAAACTAGAATGACTTTAAATGAAATCATCGGAAGGCAAGCTCAAGATCTTACATCTTCTCTGACAATGAAGAAAATTTCAGATCCTAACAGTTTTAAGATGTGATACTAAGCTGCTCGATCTTAGGGGTATGTAGTAGAAGCCATTTCTTCTTCTGATAATTGAGCTGTTCTGAAAGAACAACAGGATATGGAGGACTGAGCCTCAGACAGGACAAGGAATGGACAAAAACATCAAGAGCATCAGGGAAGTGAAGTTGGTCACATCTGTTTACAGGAGCAGGGTATCCTCAGGACCTTCCTGAGTAAAGTATTATGACAAAGTGCTTTTATACACTTAGTGAAGTCTCTTGTTAAGCACTGGCAAATTTATTCTTTAAACAACTTTGATCCAAAAGAAACAAGTCCCTAGAAATTTAATAAGTGGCAAAAACAAAGTTCTAAAACAGAAAATGAGCAAGGATTTAAACATTGCCTATGTACTGGATTGAATAATGTTTCCCCCCAATCCATGTTCATCCACAGCCTGTGAATTTGATGTTGTTTGGGGAAAAAAGGGTTTTTAACAGATATAATTAAGTCAAGATGAGATCATACTGAATGAGGCCAAGTCCTTATTCAATGACTAGTGCCCTTATTAGAAGAGGAAAATTTGGATACAGACACACATACACACATACACACATACACACACACAACATCGTGTAATGAAGGAGTCAGAGAATGGAGTGATACATCTACAAACCAAGTAACACCAAGGATTTCTGCCAACTACAAGAAGCTAGGAGGCAAAGGAGGAGTTTTTCTTAGAGCCTTCAAAGGGAGCATGTTCCTTCTGATGTCTAGATTCCAGACTTCCATACTCCAGAATCATAACAGTACATTTTTGGTTATGTTAAGCCAATTAGTTGGTGTTACTTTGTTATGATAGTCCTGGTAGTCCTAGGAAACTAAAAGCCTGTTCAGCAACCAAGTTTATACACTTTGCACAACCACTATACCATCAGCAAGCACACAGTCTAACTAGGGTGTCCTGACTGAAAAACTAACTTAAAGATACTGAAGTTACAATTCATCCTGGAGTCCATGTATTCATAATGGAAAGCTGGGACAAGGAGCATACAAACTGTTCAGATGAAATCGTGCACTAAAGGTGTTGCTGAGGGGACTATAGTAAAGAAATCCCATCAGGAACCATAGTGTGGACTGGTTGATAAACATACAGGCCACTGTGACAATTCTGCAGGTCAGAATGTATTTCACTGTGCATGGAAAATAGTAACAGAACTTTCACAGAGGTTTCAACTAGAGATATGGCCAAGTAAATTCTCTAACATAAGCAGGAAAACTTTTTGAAGTTATGGGAATGCCAGAGCAAGATGATGCAAAAATAGATCTAAGCTTGAGTCACCAGAACTATAATTATGGAAGTGACTTTCGTCCTTGGAGCTTCTTAAAAGATGGTTTCATAGTCCCGTGAGGGGAGTGTCTTTGGAATTTGGAATTCTCCCTTCAAGTTGGCATGAAATCCGTCCTGCTGAGCCAGTTATGGTTTGCTGAGCTCCTGGTACTGGCTAGGTCTGAGGTTTCATGTGCACATCAGCTGCTGGTTTTCATGAACAGCACATTTTCAGTCCCTGGGAACACACTATAAACTGTCATTTTCACAATGGATAAGAAGCCTGGGTGATTATTGGCCTCAGACCATTTCAGCCCCTCCTCTAATTTTACATTCTGAAAAATACCTAGCTCATGAACAGTTCTCGTTAGAGAGTGTTCTATCTTGCCAAAACAAATTATCAAGAATTTATATACCTACCATCATTTAACATCAAACATCAGCTTAGTTTCTTAAGCAGAATAGATATTAAGTAAATATCAGTTGCTTGAGCCTATGATTGAATAATTTCTGTAAGGATTATTGAGAAGTTTTAGATTTCTGAGAATGATATGATAGGCCTTATGATTAGAATACTATGGGTGACCTCTAGGAATTGAGCAAAGAACTTAACAATGGATCCAAGGTCCTTAAACTGAAGATATTTTGTGTTTGTATATAAATATATAATTTCATAAATATTATTACTTTTGGTCACCTAATAGTTAACTGCTTAGCTCTTTGTAGTTTATAAAGCACTTTTGCAAACAGACATACCTGATCTCAAGGATATAGTACATAAGTCTACTTCCATTATCTTCAGCTTTTTCCCACTGTATTGAATCTTTACTTCCCTCTAATAATTTGGGAACGCCTGGTTTACTTGGGACTCCAGCTTTGGGGAAAAAAGAACATGTTGATTAATATGTTAGAAGAATAAACTAGTCTGCATTGATATCTTTCTATAAAATATTCTGAGGAAAAATAAATATATTTAGGAAATATTCAGAAGTTTTCTGATATAAGTAGATTTTTTTAAATGAGTATCAGAAGTTTTATCAGTGATGGATTATATTTATTAGTTATAATATTAACAGTGTAACCTAGCTTGACACAAAATAAGTGATAAATTCAAACTTTAAAAAAAATCATAAGTTTTGAAGCATTTTCCCTCTACTCATAGTGATCGATTGGGATTTATGGTATATCTTTTTAAATACTAATTAGTTTAATAGACTTTAGATTTTTTTCCATTTCTTTAGCATCTGGAATATAGAATTTGTTTAATAAGTATTTGTTGAACACTTAGTTACATTTTTTCTTGATTTAGTTCTCCCTGAAAGATATCATAGTTGGACAGGGAATCAGTATGCTAAAAGGAGAAATAATTGTGCTCTACTCAGGATCTTACAAGACCAGGGCAGTGTTATCTTGTTACTGCCTTTAAAGACTCTTGACTTTTCAATTTTTTCACTTAGGTTCTAGCAATAGTAATATGCTCTTTGTAAAGCAAAGATTTCAACCTCTAAGATTGGTGAATAAGAAATGAAAAAGATTTGAGAACTTGTAGGCTTTTTTTTTTTTTTGTACCAGGGATTGAACCTAGGGTCGCTAAATCACTGAGCCACATCCCCAGCCCTTCTTAATATTTTTATTAGAAACAGGGTCTCACTGAGTTGCTTATGGCCTCGCTAAGTTGCTGAGGCTGGGTTTGAACTTGCAATCCAGATTACCGGTGTGCACCACCATTCCCAGCTCCTTGTAGACTTTCTGAGTGCCAAGTCAGTTAATACTCACCTTTTGTCTTGAAGTTCTCTGGAAGTGAGGTGCTGTTTTCTCCTGTCATATAAACCACCACTACTCGGACATCATAGGAAGTATGAGGTTGCAGATCTGTGATGTTACAGACATAAGCAGGACCTTTGCTGCATGAAGCTTCGACATGGTAAAACTCATTGTATCTCCACTAGAAAAAGAAGTCTCAACTAACATTTTTTGTTTCTTTAAGAAAATCTTAAACATAGAAATGTATAGTCCTGTGGCAAGTGATTAGAACTCAAAGTTTACTTTCTACTAAAGAACCACAGCTTCTTTATGAATGTTTGGTTCCAAACATTATTCTCACCACCTATAGCCATTTTTTTTTCTCATGACAAGCTCTAAATGACCTGAATGACAATTCTTAGATAAAGCCAAGGTGAGACATGTAAACTTAAGTATATATATCTTGGGGAACATTCTGAGCTGAGATTTTTCCATTATCCCTAAAAGTGGACACCTAAATTAAATCAGATGGCTGAGAACACAAAATCACAGCTGAGGAGCAATGAAAGAACAAAGATAACTTCAATTCTAGGGATTAGTTCATTTCAAAATAATAAATTCCACTTATTTCAATTCTTTGAAGAAGTCCATAGTGATTAACAAATTAAAACATTTAGGGTTTTCCCTCCTACCACCCTCTTCAAACATGTGACCAGCATCCTTTATATTTATACATAGGAAGGGTAAATCTTTACAAAAAGGAAAGTTTTTCCCACCATCAGGCAGCTACTAAGTAGCAAGGTTAAAAGTTAAATATAGGAAATGTTGCTTTAATACTGCTTTAGTTACTGGTTCTCTAATTAAAGCTATCTGAAACTTATTTCTCTATGATACTTTTTTTAAAAGCTGTGTATTTGGATTCTTAAAGTCATTATTTGAAAATGGGTGATTTATTTCAGTTGTACAAATAGGAGACCAAGGATGTGGCATATTGTCAAGGGTTCTTCGTGTATTTTTCCTAGTAGAGTTTCCTAAGAAGGTCAGTTTCCATAAATAAACTTTACTTTGCATCTCCTTTTTCATTTAGTACTCAGAAGGTCACATCATTTCATCAGATGCACATTTCACATTAGTTTTCAATTAAATAGGAACATTCTCTATTGCACCTTGGGAAGTAGACCATCATGTTACAAAGAAACGGGGGGAAAGGAAACAGAATGCAAATTGAGAAATGCTGATGTTAGGGACATTGCCTGCATTAAATTCATAAATGTATGAATGCCTAATGAAATAGATGCACTGAATATGCAACATTTACTCTGTACTGAAAGTGTATGTATGTGTGTGCATGCACGTAAGAAAAAGAGAGATTAAGAGAGAAATTCCTAGCTAAAAAATATTAGAGTATTTTGGCCTTGCCTCCTTAATGATCTGGTGTAGAAATAACTACACTAGATGATCCAACATTACACACCATCCAGAAATTCTCAGAACTCCTGTAACATACGGGAGGTGATTGCTTGAGGGCATTTTCTGGAAAATGGCAGTGTGTTGGCATCCCTACAGCACTAAATGCTATGGGCAGGCCATCAACTCTGAGAAGTGCTGTCGACTCTCCCAGAAACTCACAAGGGAGTCAGAACCTTCCACTTGTCAAGAAACCAACAAGTGCAAGAATGAAGGCTATCCCAAAGAGATTTTCAAGTTATTTGGGCAGTGTTTGGGAGGTTGTAGGATATAATATCTCAGAGACTGGCACTTCAGAATTTTTTGATTCTCATAAGACATTTGTCTGTACTGATGAGAAAAACATTTTTAGTGGATTTCTATGAAAAAAAATTATCAAATTAAAAGGACTTGTTCCTTCGTAATCTTAAATTGAAGACATCCTTTCCTCTTTGGCACACTTGTGATTTTTTTCTTATATTGTTATTGGATTTTTTAAAATTAAAATCTATGTAATTCAAGATCTAGATAGAAACTTAACCTTGTGTTCTAAATTGCTCCATTTTCAGACAACAAATTGTGACAGAAAAGACAAAGTTTATCATGTTTTTCCTCTTTCTTTTGTAAAGCAAACTTATTAATTATGAAGACATCCATCTCTCTCACCACTCACCCCTCAGAGTTTCAGAATTCTGAAATCATTCCTAGCAGTCCTGTCATTATGAGGAAGGTTCAAGTTGCTCAAAAAAGACAAGAGCTTTCTGACTACAGGTCACTCATCAGCCCTCTCAGAACCACTGTACTCATCCATTCATGCTTCACTAGAGATGGTCATACATGTAAAAGTGACAGTATCCTGCATTTTCAGATTCATGATTTTCTAAATGGTCTACAAGAAATCTGTTGAGAAAGTGTGAAAATAGAAAATATAAAAAGAAAAGCATTTCTTGATTCTTGGTTTTGTTTCTTGAGCTTTAGGAGTCTTTTTAAGGAAGTCAGTACCCTCAACAATATATTGGAGTTTTGGCCCTTTGTTTTCTTCTAGCAGTTTTAGGGTTCTAGTTCTTTAATGTACTTTTGAGTTTTGTGCAAGGTAAGAAACAGGAATCTAGATTAATTTTTGTACATATGAATATCCAGTTTTCCCAACACTATAGAATTTGTTTAAATACTTTTTCTTTTTATAAATATAAAAATTAAAAAATAAAGAATAAATATATTTTTATATTTGTTTTATAGTATTTGTTTAAAATACTATAATATTTGTTTAAAAAGCTATATTTTCTCCAACATGTTTCTGGCAACTTTGTCAAGGATCAGATGACTGTATCTATGTTTAGACTAGTCTATGTGTCTTCCATTCCACTGGTCTTCATGCCTGTTTCCATGCCAATACAATGCTGTTATTGTTACGGTAGCTCTGTAGTATAATTTGAGATCAAGTATTATATGATGTCACCAATATCACTATTATTTCTCAGTATTGTCTTGTCTATTCTGAATCTTTTATTCTTCCATATGAACTTAATGACTTTTTTCTAGTTCTGTGAAGAATTTCATTGGTATTTTATGGGGAAATAAAACCAAGAATCAATAAGTGGAATGGCTTCAACTTAAAAAGCTTCTACACAGCAAAGAATACAATTTAACCTACAGAATTAGGAGAAAATCTTTGCCAGCTACTCTTCTGACAGGAGATTAATATCCAGAGTATATAAAGAACTATAAAAACTTAAAACAAAAAAAAAACCAATCAAAAAAAAAATGGGCAGATGAACTAAGCAGACATTTCTCAAAAAAATACAAATGATCAACAAATATATGAAAAAATGTTCAATATTCTTGGTGATCAGAGAAATGTGAATCAAAACAACATTGAGATTTTTCTCCCAATTAGAATGGCAACCATCAAGAAAACAAAAAAACAATAGGTGCTGTCAAGAACATGGGCAAAAACATGGCCAAGTGCCCCTGAGTTCAATCCCCAATACTCACCTGTCCCCTCCCCGCAAAAAAAAAAAAAAAAAAAAAGAGGAAAAAAGGTAAACTTATACATTGTGGGACTTTAAACTGTACAACCACTTTGGAAAATGGTATGGCGATTTCTCAAAAGAGGAGAGATGGAACTACCATATGACCCAACTATCCCATTCATTGGTATTTATCCAAAAGAACTAAAATCAGCATACTATAGTAAGATGTGCATACCAATGTTTATAGCAGCACAATTCATAATCCCCAAGTTTTGAAACCAGTCTAGGTGGCTGTAAACAGACAAATGGATAAATAAAATGTGGTATATACACACAAAGGAGTTTTACTCAGCTATAAGAAAGAAGGAAATTGTCATTTGCTAGTAAATGGATGGAACTGGAAAACATCATGTTAAGTAAAATAAGGCTAACTCGTAAATTAAAAATTTGAAATACCCCATTTGAAACAAATATATGAGATATGATATGTCAAGATCAGTGTAATGTTTTGAGCAACTAATAAATTTCTGATGTTTAAAAAAATTGAAATATTTCTTTCCAATGCAAAAGTTAGAGACAGAGAAAAAAATATTTTTAAAAAATGGAGGGGAGGATCTCATGAAAATGGAAGGAAAACCAATAATATTGAGGAAGAAAATCAAGCAGAAGGGAGGAGAGGAGGACATGGGAAGGACTGGAAAGCAAAATGCACCAAATTAGGTTATGTCCATGTATAGATTGCCATGATGAGTTCCACATATATAGATAATTATAATGCACTAATTAAGATAATAATAATAATAACAATAAAAGGGAGGTCAGTAGACTAGAGCAAGTAGATCAGAGAGAGGTAGAGCGGGAAAGGGAATATACTGGGGAAAGAGATTGAGCAAATTATGTGTACATATGAATATGACATAATGAATCTCACTATTATATGTAATTATAATGTACCAATTTAATTTTTTAAAAAAATCATTGCCTGAAAGTCATGAGGACTGGACCCAGGAGGTCCTTGTCTGCTGTTCTTTTTCCCAGATTTGAATGGGATGGGTGACTTAATGATTAATAGTTCAATCCAAGGACATTACCCAAGCAGGACTGCTGTAGGGATGAGTTAGCTCTGAGACACTCCTATATCTGGTTAGTAATATCTGGCTTAGCATAGCATGCGTCTGGGTCTCCATGTTCTTATCAGTAAAATGAGAAGCTAGAGCATCGTTATTTCCAAAGTCCTTTTAGATTTAATTTGTTTAAACTAGAAAATGAACTTTACATCCCTTCCCTTGACTTTAGACTCAACTGCATTAAGCTACTTAAAAAGATGTCCAAAAAAGAAAAAAAAAAAAGGGTGGTCCTACAATTTCTCCAAACTTACTACATTTCAAGGCCAACATGTTCAATGGAAACATGTTCAAATGGGAAAAAATCCTATTAAACTATGGCCTTTGGTTTTATCAACTTAAGGTTCAGTATTGTTCTATATTTTCATAGTTTTATCTAAAAAGTACAAAATCATAGAAATATTTTATATAGTAAATTTTAAAAAGATCCTGGGTAACAACTTGTTTTTAAAGAACTAGTGACTATACTGATTTGCTTTTAAGTTACAATTGAACAAAATATTCTTAACCAATCTTTACAAATATGCATGCATATATAGACATATATGTATATATATAAACATATTATAGTGAAAAAGAAAAGTAACAACTTAAAAAATTGAATAATCAATTCTTAGTATATCACTATAAATATCAATGTGAACCTTCCTTAGAAATAAATCAATCAGATTAGTTGATGCTTTAAAATTCAACAGGCATTTTTATATTGGTTAAAGCATGAAGAGTTTGTATGAAGAACTATTTAAAGTTTATGAGCCAACATCAAACTAGTTTGGAATAAACTGGCTTTATATTTTACTTCTCCCCTGTGTGACAAAGCCCTCCAATGGTTTAAAGGACATTTCTAAACAAGTTTTGGGGTTTTGTTTTTTCCTTTCTTTTATTTCTAAAGAAACCACCAAGTTGTTAAAGCAGATAACCATTCGGATAACATCAAAACTAAGAAAAAACATTATGAAATTACTAAACTGTAATATATACCTTTTGAATCAAACTTTTTAGGAGTAAATTACTTTCCTAGGAACTCTTTCTATCAGAAATTAGTATGCTTTAAATGCCAGACCTGAACGAATGAATATTATCAAATATACTATTAATTTATACAGGAAAATCCTCTGAACACATGAAAAATCCTTATAATTTATTCTATTTCATAAAATTGTGAAGAAATAATATTTAAAGAAATAAGCCAGGACTACGTGTTATGGTTTGGGGGATTTGTTTGTTTTGCTTTGTTTTATACCGAGGTTTGAACTGAGGGGCACTTAAAACTGGCTTTTTTAAATTTTGAGGCAGTGTCTTTTTTATTTTTACTTTTTACTTTGAGACAGGGTCTCACTAAATTGCTTAGGGACTCAGTAAGTTGCTGAGGCTTTGAACTTGCGATCCTCCTGCCTTAGCCTCCCAAGCTGCTGGGGTTAATCTTCTTTCAAGGTCCTACTTAACAAATATTCTCAACCAATCTTTACAAATTCGCACACATACATAGTCCTGTATTTATGCAAACAGACACATAAATATAGGATAGTGAAAATAACAAGTAGAAATTATAAAAGTGCAATCATCTATTCTTAGTGTATTGTTATGAGATTTACATAAAAATTTAAATTTAAAGTCTACCTTCTGGAGTTCAAACCAAAATCTAATGAGGCTAACATCAGGTGGAGCCTTCCAATCTAACTGCAAACTGGTGTTTTCTGGGACCAAGGCATAAGGTTTCTCTGGTGTGTCGAACATTTTGACAGTGACAGAATGACTTTCAGCACACCACATTTTCTTGGAATGGCAGGCCAGAACCTTTATTAAAAAGAAAAGAAAAGAAATACAGCTGCTTTTCAAAATTTTGTGCTGTAAAATGGCAATAAAAAGTGCCCCATACACTCTGTACCTTTAACACATATTGTTGTCCACCAGACAGTGTAGTGACAAGGAGAGCAAGCCTGGCATTTGGATATTCACTTTGTCTTAGAGGAGTCTTAGGAATTAGGGCCAGATTTGAGATTTCCAGCTGATAGCGGACTGACTCTTCAGGTCCATTTGGCTTGTGAGATTCTCTCCAAGACACAAGGAGGCTGGTGTCTGACAGCACGGTTGTATTAATGAGCCAAACTGCCTCTGGCACTGAAATAAATAGCAATGAAGGATAAGGGATGTTGCAACAGCATGGAAAGGTGCAAAGAAGAGAGGAAGTCTTGGTTGAGGATCCTGTCACGGGAGCAGAATGACTAACAGTGTCCAGAAGGAAAGTCAGTCTATTACACAATGGTAAGTTAGCAGGCTGCCTAAGCCTCTTGCCTCTTTCTCCAAATGACTACAACTTTACCTGACTCCAGCTCAAGGATAGGACCCTTCATGAATTACCCAATTTGAATGACTTTTGTGTGAAAATCATCAGAATATCTGGGAAAAAAAAATGATCATCACCTCTTAGAACACGTTTTTGGATTATAGACTTTTTGTCTTTAAGGTAGGGATGTTACGTGATTTTAAATCTCAGTGGGCTCAGTGCAATACACATTGAAAAGAAGTCTTGGTTTTCCTGTCTCATGTGTACAGAGAGCTATGAGTACATGGAAAGAGAGCGACACTGTGTGGTGAGACCAAAGAATGAGTTTCTTTGTGGAGCACTATTGATTTTGATGTTTCACCTCCGGACTGCTTTCCATTTTGATGGGTTATCATCTTCTTCTGTGGTTAAAATAAGGGCCAAGTTATCAAAACATTTTCTACAAATTCATTATCCTTATTAAACTTAAAAAGGCTCACATAATAATTATTGGTTGGCATTTAGATCAAGAAAAACATAAACATATACATTATAAAATTTCGCTCTAGAAACCCACACAAGTTCACAACTCACCTATAGAAACTCACACTCACCTCCACTTTTAGTTTTTCCTAAAATTTTTTTCCCCAGAGGTAAATGTTCTAAAGGATCCAAATAATAATTCCTTATAGCTGTATGTATCGTATATGTTGAAAATGGTTGTAAATTTTCAATAACAGCTATACTCTCCTGAGACTCCTGAAAATTAATTCAAAAATCAATATCTGATTCTTATATTTTATATAAACAAGCAGAAATTATTTACACAAAGATAAAAAGGCTGATTTATTTTAAATTCTGGATTGTTCATAATGCCACATCCCAGTCTACAAAGACCTGAGTTAATATCTCCACAAATAAATGCCAAGTGATTGTCATTTTGTGAAACAACTCATTTCACATAGGAAACTATTTCATAAGTATGACATTAGAAATTCAGCAGGAGGAATACAAGTGAATATAGTAAAATATAAAACTGTATCATCTAATCATTCTTAAAAATAAATTTTTCAAAAAAAAAATTTTTTTCAGAGGGTAAAAAGACATCCTTTAATGATTCTCAATTTTGATTGTGCTTTGGAATCATATAAGAAATTTTAAGAAAATACTATACTGTGTTTCACCCACAGATATCCTGATAGAATTGTGTGAGGTAAAGCCAAGATTGAGAACCCATCTTATTCAAAGTGAAGACAATAAGACTAACTCTAATAAAGAAAATCTGTTCAAAGACCAATTTTGATCAGCCAAATGATTCAATCTCTTTCTGAAACAACTTTAGAAATTTTTTTAAAAAAATGATTAGAACACAAAACAATAAAAGTAACAAAGAATCGTGTATGAATGGCCGAGCAGACAGTTTTGAATGTCCAATAGAAGAGGATTACTTTGACCTCTCGAACTGGTTAAATCAAGCCAAGCACGAAGCAATTATACATATTGGGTATGTATAATGTCATCACTAGAACTATTGAAACACTAATGCCAATGATGGAATAAATATTGCCTATCAATTCATTCATTCAATAAATATTTACCAAATGTCTGCACAGTGCCAACTCTTATGCAACTGCTAAAAGGATACAATGGTAATTTAAAAACAGACATAATTCCTCAGATCACTACATTTCACAATATGTAGGATATATAGACATAAATATTAAGTACAAGTTTATGTTAGATAAATGCTAGGGAAAAGAAGCATATATGGCAATATTCTTTCTGTCCAATTCATTTGTTACTCCTCAATCTTCAATCTGCTGTGTAGACCACAAAATCAAGTCTCTGTTACTCTCTAGGGGTGAATAATCAGGGAAGGAGCAAACCCCATTTTTCAGGACTCTCAGGAAACTATTACTATGAAAATCCATCAGCTGGCCAGAATTAACACATTTCCAAGTAACCTAACTTATTCCCAGACAATACATTGTTTTGATGAATCATCAACTGTAAGAAGTTGTATATGAGAAATGCTTCACCATAGCTAATAGTTTTAAATTTTAAAAAGGCTTCTTGTACAAAGCCCAAAACCACTAGCTCTAATCTTACCAGTATTTTATACACCAGGTCAGAGCTCTTTTTCCTGCCATTAACTTCTGTATAGTAAACCAGGTATGTCGGTGTAGGACTGGTGATGCCATACCAAGTAAGATTTGTCTTGGCTGGAGGTAATCTGATTGTGAGACTTGTGTTAGTGGCATTAAGTATGGTTGGTCCTGAAATATCTGAAGCTATAGACAGAAATGCTTTATCTAAAATAAAAAGAAAACAAAGATGAAATATATGTAGAAGAGAAACAGCAGACTTATTTAGCATTAAGGGTAATATCAAAGGTTAGAAAGATATTTGTAGAATATACATTATTTTTGTTAGGAAGGATAAGCATGAAAGTGCTTTGGAAATAATGTTCTCTTTGAAGAAATTTTAAAAAGCTCCATCTCAATACTGTGTATGGCAAACACTGCTAGATTCTACCCAATATCATCCTCCTTTTCTTGAAACTCACTCATATAAAGTTGTTTAAGGTGGCATGCCCAGAGGGAAAACTCAGTTTCTGAATCTCAGTAGCAGCCTGGGCAAGCCCTGGCACACTCTAATCTTTCAGATGGAAGATGGGCGTCTGCTCTATGGGTCATCCAGAGCAGCAGTTATCTCCGTCACAATAAAGAGTAAGCATGCTGTTACATGCCCGTGCCCTTCTCCCTGTCCGGGATGCAGATATGATACCTAGAGGAGCAACAGCTATTTTGTAAGAACTGACTAAAAGTCATGCTAAAGAAATCTGTGAAAAGACAGAAGTCCAGGTGCTTGATAGCATTGCTGCCTGAACGCCACATACAACCGAACAAGCTGTATCCTGCATAACTCTGGGAAGAACCATTCATGGCGACTACAGTGGGAATGGGAATGATATGCTCTTGACCAGTGCAGTGGCACAACTCCATTGCAAACTCAGTAGAAGCCTAAAAATATCATGTTTCCAGCTGGGGATATAATTCAGTTGGTAGAGTGCTTGCCTCACATGCACAAAGCCCTGAGTTCAATCCCCAGCACCACCAAAAAAAAAAAAAAATCATGTTTTCATAACTTGCAGCTGAATGCAGTTTCTAATCCAGCCACTTTGATTAATATGTAAATTTTGATTAAGACATAAAATGCCACCTAAAAATACAGTGTGATCAAAGACAACACAAATGCAAATAACTCCAAATAAGATTTTATATAAAGAGTTAGCTGTTTGACTAATGATCCATGGCACTTTGCAATCTGGCTCCTGACCTCTGTCCTACCCTATATCTGATTATGCAAAGTCATTCTTCAACCCAATCACATTATAAAGAGTATGGATCAGTGCTGAACTTCCACCCAGAGAGCCCTTCACATTGGCTGTCTCCTCAGTTTGGAAGGAACTTCCCCACCTAGGAACCCTTACTTTGGGCTCAGTTCCTACATCATCTCTCCTGGGAAACGCTGACTGTACCCTCATTCAGTTGAGAGTCTCTCTCTTCTGTTGCCACCACACCCCTCATATTCTTCCACCATAGAACTAACCACATTTAGTTTGTTTTGCTTTTCCTTTTGGTGTTTTATTTCTTGACCACTAGAATGTGATGTTTCTTGGACTAAAATTGTATGTAATTTATCTTTGGGTGCTTGGCATATTTTAGGTACTTAATAAATGCTGCCAATATCTATGAATTTGTGTTATCAAAATATAAAATGCATCCTTTACATTCAACAAGAAAATGAGGGGGATGAGGGGAGTGTTTAAGTGCCAATGACTTGATCAAGCCTGCTCCTTCACTTCCTAACTTTTTGACCTTGGGAAGGATACTCTAGCTATTCTGTAAATGGGTAATTATCTATTCCATAGATACTTATATATTGCTTTATCCCTAAACATTGTGAGGATTTTTAATAAATGGTAGTTATTATTACCTTCATTATAAGCTATTAAAAAACAGAGGAACTAATGCTAGCCTGATCTGGGGATTTCAAATACAACTCCCAAAATACAGAAAAGAGATTGTAAAGTTAAAACTATCTCAAAAATTTCCAGGAATAGGGAATATGTAAGAACTCTGTGAACTTAACTTTGAGAACAATTGGAAGGCATGGGGATTCAAAGAAAGATAACTTTATAAAAGTTACAAAATGATCCATTATCCAATTCAATTAATATTTATACAATAGTATTTATTCATTTGTGCTGATTTCTGGTCTAAATGGGGAATGGGACACTCATGTTAGCCACAAGAGTAATAATGTTTCAAAGGTGATAGCTATTTTTGTCATTTAAAATTTTTTGTTTTAAAACATGGTGGTACATACTGAAGTGTTGTAAATGTCATTCAGGACCAGAAAACAAGTAATTCCTGTTCATTTTCTTTGTAACAGGGATTGAATTCAGGGGCACTCAACCACTGAACCACATCCCCAGCCCTATTTTATATTTTATTTAGAGACAGGGTCTCACTGAGTTGCTAAGCACCGCACCATAGCTGAAGCTGGCTTTGAACTCAAATCCTCCTGTCTCAGTCTACTGAGACGCTGGGATTATAGGCATGCCCCACCGCATCTGCTCTTCTGCTTTTTTATTCCCACACATTTTGAAGATATGAAATGCCTCAAGCTCAAAAGGAGCAAAGGAACTGGTAATTGCTTAAAATTTCCAGCAGATGGAGATAAAGTACCCTTAATTATGTACCAGGAAAGTAGCAAATAAAGTTGATGCTTTTTTTTTCAAAGAAAATAATACATCATTATATTAATCTTATTTTAATGAGTCCTAGTAATAAAAATTCATGTTACATTTAAGACTGTTTAAGTGTAGGTGTGTGTGTGTGTGTGTGTGTGTGTGTGTGTGTGTGTGTGGCACATGTTATTCAACTTCAAACAGATATCACGTGTACTTTTTAAAAGAGACTTTATTATTGAGTGCAGTTTTAGGTTCACTGTATGATTGCAAAGAAAGTACAAAGACTTCCCAGTATATGTCCCCACACATGCACAGCCTCCCCCATTAGAGATACCATGGGTAGATAGTAGTTTTATTGTCCTAAAAATCCTCTGTACTGTCTATCTCTTCCTCCCTCAACCCTAGCCAGCATTGATGTTATTACTGTTGCTATAGTTTTTACTTTTCCAGAATATCATACAGTTGTTATCATACACTATGTAGCTTTCCAGATTGACTTCTTTCATTTCTATGTATATAGCTTTTCTTCATGTCTTTTCATAACTTCATAGCTCATTTCTTTTTAGCTCTAAATATTTTACCTTAAGGTCTGTGATCTATTCTGAGTTAATTTTCATGAAGGGTATAAAGTTTATGTCCACAGTCATCTTTTTGCTTGTGGAAATCCAGTTGTTCTAGCAGTTTGTTTAAAAGACCATCAGTTCTCCACTGCATTGCTTTTGCCTCTTGTCAAAAATCACTTGATCGTATTTATGTGTGTCTATTATCTGGGTTCTCCGTTCCTGATTTATTTGCCTATTCTTGCACCAATACCACAGTGTCTTGATTACTTTAGCTTTATAGAAAGACTTGAAGTTGAGTAGTGTCAGTCTTTCAACTATATTCTTCCCCTTCATTATTGTTGCTAGTCCAGGTCTTTTACCATACCAAATAAGCTTTAGATTCAGTTTATCTTTCCACAAAATAAATGGATGGAATTTTAATGGGATTCCATTGAATCTATGGACCAAATTGGAAGATGTGCCATCTTGACAACATTGAGTCTTGCAGGATATGAACAAAGAATATCTCTAACATTTCTTTAATCCTCCTTTGATTACTTTTATCAAAGTTTAATAGTTTTCTTCATGTATCTCTTATATATATTTTGTTAGATTTGTACCCAAGTATTTCATTTTGGGGTATGTTAATGTAAATAGTAATGCTTTTAATTTCAAATTTCACTTGTTTGCTGCAGAGGAAAACAAAACTTGTATTTTCATCTAATGTCCTGCAAACTTCATAAAATCACATACTAATTCTTGAAACTTTTTTTTAACCAAATCTTTCAGATTTTCTGCATAAGTGATCTTGTCAGAATTATTTTTTCCTTTCTAATCAGTTTAGTTTTTATTTTGTTTTCTTGTTTTATTGCATGCTGGGTTGAAAAGAAGGAGCAAGAGGGGACATCATTGTCTTGTTCCAGATCTTATTCAAAAAGCTTCTAGTCTCCTACATTAAGTATAATGTTAGTTGCAAGTTTTTGTAGATAGATAGATAGATAGATACTCTTCCTCAAATAAAGAAAGAAATTTCCCTCTTTATTCTAGGCTTACTAAGAGTTTTTAATCATGAATTAGTGTTGGATTTTTACAAAAGGCTTTTTCTGCAATTATTAATATGATTGTGTGATTTTTCTTCTTAAGCCTGTTGACGTGGTAGATTGCATTAAATGATTTTCAAATATCAGATTTGAATAAATGGGATAAATCCTATTTGTGTCATATGATTGTTTTATATATCATTAGAGTTAATTTTCTAACACTTTGTTGAGGATTTTCCATTAATATTCAAGAGAGAGATTTATCTGAAGTTTTCTTTTGTCTGGTTTTAGTGTGAGGATAATGCTGACTTCATATAATAAACTCATTCTATAATATACATGAAAGAATTCTCCGTTTCTATCTTTTGAAATAAATAGTGGAGAATGGTATAACTTCTTTTTCTTTTATTTTTGTATTTTATTTTATTTTTTTTAACTTCTTTCTTAAATGTTTGGTAGAATTCACTATTGAAACTAACTGGGTCTGGTGCTTCTGTTTTCAGTTATTATTGATTCAGCCTCTTTAAGAGATGTAATCCTATTCAAATTGTCTGTTTCTTCCTGTGTGTTTCAGCAGATTATGTCTTTAAAGGAATTGGTCCATTTCATCTAGGTTATTAAATTTGTGGGCATAGTCCTGCATAATATTCCTTAGTTATCCTTTTAGCATTAAAAGGATCTATAATAATGTTTCCTCCCTCATTTATTTCTGATATTAGTAATTTGGGTCCTCTCTTTTTCTTAGCCTGGTTAGAGATTTATCAATCATTTTATTTTCCTGAAAAGTTGACTTTTGATTTAATGGATTTATTGTATTTATTTCTTGTTTTCTGCTCTAATTCTTTTTATTTTGTTTCTCCTACTTATTTTGGATTAAATTTTCTCTTCCTAGTTTCTTAAGTTGGAAAGCTATTGTTTTTCCAAATCTCTTTTCTTCTCTAAAATAGACATTTGATCCTACAAATTTTCCA